CCCCCCACCATTAACCCTACAGCTTCTGAATTGCATCGTGTCCCTGGTTCCAGGGTGGGCTGACAACGCTAATGCGTGTGCCAAGCAGTATGCCGGCACTGGAGCCCTGAAGACTGACTTCACCAGGTGAGGAACCCGTCTGATCTTACGAGCTTACGGATGTGGAGACTGGAAGTGGCATTACAGAGATACCAGAGTAGATATGAGCCTGTGGTTTAAGGTGCTCCTCAACTGTACTAGTTCTCTCTTGGAGTCCAGACTCAGTCCTGTGATTGGGCTAGATTTCCACTAAAGTTCACTGAGCCCAATAGCCCCCTAAACCTTAATATTAGTTCCTCCACAAAGCAAAGTCTGCGAACAACATGACACTGGATGACATCTCTACACCCAGGACGGGAAAGAGGACCCACTGGGGTCTGCTGATGGATGGCTGGAACTCCATGATACGCTACTACAAGAACAACTTCTCTGATGGCTTCAGACAGGTATGGAACCCTCTCACATGGTGCTCCAGGGGCTGTGCGATAACAGGCATGCTAGACTCTGGGCTCTGCGTGACACCAAACCAAGTTCAAACACCAAATGTTAAATAGGAGCTATTGTGGAACCTGTAAGATACTGTTAACAATCCTAACTGTGGTGGAGCCAGCTGGGGGTGTACAATGACTGCCCAGGTTTGATTTGGGGGGGGGGGGTGCTTTGTGGATCTCAGCTGCCTCCATGATGTACCGCCCCCCCCCTCCCAGGATTCTATTGACCTCTTCCTTGGGAACTACGCTGTGGATGAGATGGAAGTGTCGACACCCCTACATGTGCAGAAGGACTGGAAGTTCCTCACTGTGAGTATTATCACTTGGGGGGGCGTGGGGTGTGGGGCTTGGGGGAGGAGTCATAGGGCCTAAGGGGCAGGGTGGTCTGAGGCGGGATGGAACCAATGTTTTTCTTATGGGCAGGAATTAACTTGGTCAGTCTTTTACTGCTGGAGGTGTTTTTTTTTTTTTTAAATTTTGAGATACTGGTTTTAACATGTGGTGGGTTTAATTCCCCACAACTTCAAAATCATTCTTTATTCTCCTCTCTCCCAGCTTCCCATCATCATGTTGGTTGCTTTCGCAATGTGCATCATCTGCCTCCTTATGGCAGGTAAGAAGCTCCGTTTTCATTATTAGCAATGGAAGAAGTCGAGCTTTAGAAAGCAGCTTTTGTGGGCTTGGTGTCAGTCACATGGGTAGTTCCCCCAGTTCCCATTGGTCACCTAATGAAGAGCATTCAGCTACCCTCATTTCTCCATTCACTATGAGAATATCCAGAATGACTGACCTTTCAAAAATGCCTTTAGAAGAATTGAAAGATCTTGATGTTTTTCTTACTCAATAACAACTCACTGGGTCAGAGCTCATGGGACCATGACACCCAAGCTGTAGAGTGGTTCGGCGTGACCCTTAGAGATTGTGGTGACGTCCTGCCATGTTCTCCAGGTGACACGTGGACGGAGACCCTAGCCTACGTGCTGTTCTGGGGCTCGGCGAGCGCCGTCACAGCCGCCGTCATCCTCTTCAATGGCCCCGATTTCGTCGACGCCCCCAAGCTGGTGCAGAAGGAGAAGATGGACTGAATGTGTGTGTGTGGAAAGCAGCTCAGCTCCGCGGGCCCCATGTGTAACTCCTCCCAGCTGCCCCAGACCTGGAGCCTGTACTGACCTGCTCTCCACACTGTCCACGCACAAGTCATCCTATTCCACACCACTCGTCTCCGGTGTCACACTTTCCCAATGATTCCCAGCTCGGCCTTTGCAGGCTTCGAGTGTACGCACTAACTCGCGCACCAAGCACCGTTCCCCGGTATCACCTGACCGGAACCCGGCGTCAAGGCTGAGCGCCGTAATCTCCACCATTCACTCTGCCTACTTGTATGAACTGTTTTCAGCACCTCTCTTCCGTTGATAGTTTTTTAACTTTTTGTGTTTTTTTTTTTCTTTTTATTTTATTATTATTGTTAATTTGTGGGGTGTGGCACTTAATAAGGTGTAGGTTAATCTTCTTTTTAAAGCAGATGGGAGAAGCCGTCCCCATGTCTCCTGGTGTGATGGGAAAGTCGAATAAGAATCTCATGAGCTGCTCGATACACCTCAGATACGGTTTCTGTGATTCACACTGGATGGTCCAGCTGCTGCTTCACACGATTCGGTGTTGATGTTACCGCTTGTTTAATGTTCTTGTGTGTGAGTGTTTATTTGTTACTGCTTGAAGACCCCTTGGGGGGGGGTACAGAAGGTGCTTGTGAAGATCCAGAATAATAACTACTAGATGCATGGCTAGTGAGTGTTTTTTTTGTTTTGTTTTTTTTGGGGAGCTTTCGCTGGAATGTTTGGAGCCTTACGTAACTGCGCCGTGGTATTCCATTCAAAAGGCATAACTTTAATAAATGGGAGAAAGAGAAGCTCGCGGATTCCAAACCCTGCACAGCCACGATGGTCTGAAGTCCATCGCATGTGTGAATGTCTGTGGACAGCAGGGTCCTGGGGTAACAGGTGTGACCTTTCTGTGGCTGAGGAATGTGGACCCAAACACAGCTGGATCTGTGGAACCTATACTGGACTCCCAGTAGAAGTGGCTACTTTAAATGGCTGCCCCCCCCCCCCCCCCCCCCCCCCCCTCCCCCCCCCCCCCCCTCCTCGTTCTTTGTCACAGTTGATTTTAGCACTGCCTGCTTTAGATTCTGGCTCAATTGTTGCCTTACATCTTCATGGGGGAGGGGGGTCTATTAACTCATCAGTAATACTGCCCTTTGGGGTATTTCTCAGTCTCTCACTGAATCTCAAATCACTAATCATGCCTTTTGTCGTTACCATTAAATCTTTGATTTAGAGGGCCAAAGTACAAATGTATGGTGGATCATACACACCCAACACCACGCTATTAAACAGTGCAACGTCTGTGTGCTCCGTAGCCTTGAGAACAGAGCTGATGGTGCCGATTCTGACCTCTAGTTAAACATTTGCCCTTAGGAAGGCAGTGGGGGAATCTTCCTTTGGTGTTTGTATCACATAGGATCAAGCTGAAGGTTATATAAGAAACAGTTTCTGACCATCTTCAGCCTGCCTCATTCTGTCCTCTGTATAAATTACCTGTACAATGTATATTTTTAGGTGATCTATGTATTGTATATCTATATATTATATATTATATTATATTATATTATATATAACTAGTACTTGTAATTAGCCACTGTACATCTTACATTGGGGATTTGTATTTAGAATGCAAATTTTAGGGACATGATGTCAGCTACTGGGGATCCTTGTCCACCTTATTTTTATAGTTTATGGTCCAATCACGTTAAAAGGTTACGGGAGTAACGTCGACCAATAGTGTTGAATCATTATGGTGACACTGCTTTGGACTTTTACTGCAGGTCTTAATATTTCTTTCATGATGGGGGAGGGAGTCTGTCGCTTATATATGAAACAATGTTCCCCTTTTTTATGGGATTTTGAAGTACATAGGCTTATTTCAACTGTAGAGATTACGTTATATTTTCTTTTCTTCCAGTTTAATTACTTTTTTTTTCGTTTTTTTTTTTTTTCTTTCTCGAAAAACCTCAATAAAATCCATTATGTCAGGCGAAAAGTGTTCTCAACCTATTTAAATTTTAAATCGTTTAACTTCTGCATGTGGTTGCAATAATGATGAATATTTCATTGGTTATTATTTAGCAGGCATATGAAACAGGTATAGGCTGTTTTAGGATTCTAAGAAAGGTAGTTTCTTTTGAATGTAGCAAGAGGAACAATTTTTATGCATCCATCTTCCCTGCAGGTAGTATTTAAAAACGTCATCAAACAAGTTGAACGGTAACCGTGGAGTGTTTTTTTTTGGGGGGGGGGGGGTTTAACATTACTGAGATCTGGCTTTGTCAAGCACTCTTCAGAGTTTAATCCTCCATTGAAAAGGCTGGAATTAATATGCTCAGAAAGCCACTGCCAATTAGTACAGCCAAAGTGAAGAAAAAGTCTGGTGACCCAGAAGTCAAAACTGACTTTTTTCCATGAATTAATAGATGTTAGAGATCTTAACAGCCATTAATAAAACTGCGAGTAGTTATCTAGAACTGTTTGTATTAATTAAATCGCATATACACGACAAAATATCGCAAGTGGACCAGATTTAGGATTTCAAGGGAAAATGTACCATCAGACCGAATCACACAGTAATTAACGCACTGCTCATTTTTTTTTATTTTATTTAAAATAGGTCAACATAGGAGGAAACAATGTAATTACCTTGCATTATGGCCTCTAAACAACGTACAGTACTATGGACATGAGCACCGCACACTGTTAGTGTCTGCTTATTCCTTGGTACAATGTACGTTAGTTTTAACGAGTTAAAGAGCATAAGTTGGCCTAAACCAGTGACTCTCAAAGTGTGGGGCGCAAGAGACCTGGGGGAAAGTCGTACAGAACTGATGTCATTTTCACGGCACCGTTAGCAACCTGCTCATTCACTTCTATCAGAGCCTTAAAGGGTCACAATGGACAGATATTTAACAGGTACGAAAAGAAAAATAGGTGCTTCTGAGAGACATGAAGCAAGTGCCGAAAACCAGGAAAAAAACAACCCACAAAGGAAATATGATGAAGCATATCTTGCTCTGGGTTTCACTGTTAATGTGGTAGGAGATGAAGAGAGACCTGTCTGTATATATGTTTGAAAACTTTGGCAGCTGACAGAATGAAACCCAGCAAATTAAACTTTCACTAAAATGCCTTGTTCACCTCCCTTCACACGTTTCTGCATTTGTTCTTGTTTATACAGAATGAATTTTATTGTATTTTCGTTTTGTTGAGGTGGGGCGTGAAAATATTTCTTCCTGCCAAGTGGGAAATGATAGAACAACTTTGAGAACCACTGCTAAACAGAAATTCAATAATTCATGTGACCATTTATTTCTGGTCCTCCACCTGAAGGTGGCGACATTTCGTCGCAGAACTATTTTTACCCTCCGTGTTTCCGGTACACGATGGAGTCGCTTCCTCTTTTCATAACTTCAACGACGGATCCGGCGGCTTCGTGGGAGTGATCTGTATTTTTTCCCCCATTTTGTTCCTAGAGTTTTTGATCAAGTCATCTGCAAACATGAAACTTGTGCGGTATGTTTGTTCATTTCTTTGTGTTTTAGACACATATTGTTGAGGAGGCTTCAAAAAACTATTACCTGCTGGTGGATGGATTTAGATTGGAGTTGATGAGCTGATGTTTGGGGCGGGAAGTACGAATGAATGAACGAAGGGATGAATGGATTATTTTGTATTGTACGCGTATTTTTCGATGGCTGTTAAACAGCCTGGTACGATACATGTTGCTGTATGTAGACTTGTTTTTTGGTGCGTCTCTATTGCAAAACATTTACCTGCTCTGTCGTTTAAAAGTTGAAAATTGGGAAAATAGTTGCACGTCTGAAATATGTTGTCTCCTTACCACTTTGAAGCTGCTTATCTCGGATGTGTGCAAATCATAAAAATCCAGGAGTTAAGTTTTATTATTATCGTTATTATTTGGAAATCAGGAAATCGGTATCTCGGTTGTGTGTTTGACTTGAAAGTGCAGGTCAGGTTCATTGTGTGTTGCCGTTTGTTGTTTGCATCGTCTCCCTGCTCATGTATAGATCTGTGGATCTCTATATCAGAGCTGCTCTTCACTGTAGCCTAAAAGTGGCCGCTTTTTGTCCCGCCCCTTGAATCTAAGTTGTTCCCTCTGGACAGATTTCTGATGAAGTTGAGCCACGAAACGGTCACTATAGAGCTGAAGAATGGCACCCAAGTCCACGGCACCATTACAGGTGAGGATTGCCGTGCGGAGAAAACAAGCAGTTTCGCTGTACAATGAAATTCTAACTTTGGACATCCTCCTTTCACTACAGAAAATAGAATAAGAATATAAACTAACATAAATACGTAACAAGTAACTTGGTACAGGGTGTCTGTGCAGTGCTGCATGTGTTCACACTGTGTTGGCTGCAGGCGTAGATGTCAGTATGAACACACACCTCAAGGCCGTGAAGATGACGCTGAAGAACCGGGAACCTACTCAGCTGGAGTCCCTGAGTATTCGCGGCAACAACATCCGCTACTTCATCCTGCCCGACAGCCTGCCGTTGGACACGCTGCTGGTGGACATTGAGCCAAAAATCAAGTCGAAGAAGAGAGAAGCAGGTGAGAATCTGAGTCTGTGCAGCACAGACCTGTTGTACTTGGAATTTGGTGGTTGAGATTGAAGAGGTTGTGAGATAAGACTTTGTGGAAGCTTCTGGTTTTGCTATAGTCTACTAGTAGGTTATGAAATCGCACTTGCTGGAGCCAGGTGTAATCTTGTATTTTCTCTTGGAACAAAGTTGAGGCCTTTGGTTTTATCCATGCGATTCTCTCTGATTGGCCAAAATTTACTCAGTGTAATGTTTAAATGTAATGGAAGGCGTGAAACAAATGTCATGAGCCCATTCAGCCAGCAAGAATTAGGTTGCCCTCTGATTTAGTCTGTCAGCGGTGTTTATGTGTTGTTTGGGGTTGGCTGTTAAAAAGATGTCAGTCTGGAAATTCAGTCAGGTCTGATAAATACTAAACGGGGCTGTGGGACCTGGTGATGTTTGGTGATTGGTATAAAACCTAATGATTGTTTCCCCTCTCTGTCTCTCACCTCCAGTGACTGGCCGAGGGCGGGGCAGGGGCAGAGGGCGAGGCAGGGGCAGAGGGCGGGGGCGTGGGGGACCACGCCGATGAGGCCCTGTTCACTGCACTGTCCACACCAGCTGTGTCTCACTGTACAGTTTTTTTTTTTTGTAATTTTGCCATGAAACCTTTACTGATTTTAAAGTTCCCCCCCCCCCATCCTCTTTTTATGTAATAAACAATTTTCTTCACAAAATGATGTGATTTATACTGTTTCATTGGGTATATCTGTATATTTTTAAGGAGGTTTTGTATAATTCAGTGTAGAATTGGATGATCTTTAATGATATAATTTTATGAAGGGGGGCAGATTCGTGTCCCTTATTTTCATGTCACCAAGTCCGTTTGTCCAGGTGTACAAGTACAACTGGATGTATAACTGAAGCTTAGAGTACATAAAAACATGGGGAAAAAATTATGAAGTGTTGAGGAAACGTTCACACCTAAAAAAAAACGTGAAAGTAAAAAAACAGACACAAGAAGTGTTTAGGCAACTTCCATGCAGCTAATTGGGTTTCATGACCCAAATATAAATTATTTCCTTTCATGTAGGTATTTGAACTAAATATCAAATTTAAAATGATCACAGTACATTTGATTCTCAAATCAGTAGCATTGGACTAGAATTAGAATTTAGTGATTCATTGTCATTGTTGACACACCACAGCACATAGTGCACAACAACAAAATGTGTCCTCTGCATTTAACCCATATGTGACATTGTGACATAGCAGAGGGCAGCTAATTCAGCGCCCGGGGAGCGGTACCTTGCTCAGGGTACCTCAGTGGTGCCTTGCTGGTCAGGGATTCAAAACTGCAATTGTTCAATTACAAGTGTGTGTCCCTAACCATTAAGCTATCACTGCGTATTTTTCACCTACTGTGGCACTTGTTTCTGTTTTTAATTTATTTGTAAGGATGGTATTTCGCTTGTTGCACTGATGCGCTGCAGGTCCTAGTAGAAGCAGGTGCTGTTCCCCAGCCTGACCTTCAGCAGGCCTCTCTAGGCGTTAGAGGGCAACTAACTACTCTTTCCTCAGGCTCCCGTTTCTTCTTTCTCTGGACGTATTCGTAAAAAGCACAGAAGGGGATGCAGAGGATGGAGGAGAGCGGGAGTAGAGCGATGCAGACCTGTGCGTACGGGGGACGTTCCTTGGGAAGGGACTTACCCTGCAGGAAAATGCATAAAAAAGGGAAAATCACCAGAGTGGAAGACAACAGGAATTACCTGAACACACCGTATGGCTTTTTAAATTGTAAGGGCCATCAAAATGACACTTAGGGGGGACATGTCTCAAACATGAACACAGCATTTTTACCAAGTCTTTGTCCCAAGCCTGGTAGGTGGATGTTTCCCCTGTAATGTATGTAATCATGTAGAAAAGGAACAGGCCAATAAGAATGATGGGGCCCACCCCTGCCCACACAATCTTCCAGTACCAGTTGGGCCGATGGCCAATCATATCCTCTATGTCTTTTTCAAACCTGCCAAAAAACAGCAAGACAGCGGTGATAATCCTTTAGCTAAACAATGTTGAAAAAATGGGTTATGGCATGAAAATTACACTGTGAGGACAATCTTAGTACTAAATTAACATATGTTGCACCAAAAGTTAGTTCAGTGTGTGAATCTATATTAAAGTACATTCTTTTTTTAAAAAAAAACTACCAAACTCATGTCTGAGCTCTAATCATATGACTGATCTGGTGCCCTCTGCTGAACAGAAAGGCATATGCCCACTGTGCATACCTCTTCAGGCCATAGATGCAGCAGATGCCAACCATCTCCACAAAAACGATGAAGAGCAGGGAGAAGGTGCACGCGTAGTCATTGAAGATGGTGAACCAGTAGTTGCCCGAGCGAGCAGTGAAGCCCAGTCCGGCAAGCAGACAGAAGATGCAGACCAGGCCTGCAGGAAGAGCAAGAACAAGCTCACCACATGGAGACACGCGGTGCCCTGATTGGTTGGCGACGGATGCCAATCAAAGATTCCCACTCCGACATGCAGAGAGACGACCTCACCATTGAGGGCCTCGCTGCTAAGCCGCCGCGACAAGAACTTGGAGTCATGCAGTGGGGTGGTGATGGCCATCACGTTTCCCAGCATGCTGCCCACGCCCAGCATCAGCAGCATGGAGAAGTAGAGCACGGACCACAGCTGTGAAACCGGCATGTTCTTGATGGCCTCACTGTACACTATGAAGGCCAAACCAGCACCTTCTGCAGCCTGTGGAACATCCATAAGAACATTCATTCGTCAGCTAAAGGGCCTTAACCTGCATATCACGTGATTAATATGGCAGCTGTCGTCCTGAAAGAAAAGGCTTCAAGTCTGTTAGGCTGGTATTTTAATGTTATTAGTTTAGCATGCGTGTAAGATTCTGCTGCTTTTGGCAATAGACCTCAAAACATGGTATGTGATGAACCGTCAGATTTACCGTGTCTAATTCAGATTCCAAGTTGCAGCTCTCAAGTTGCTGGGACAAGCTTGCAAACCGGTCAGGGTAAGTGCTGTTCAGCTGTGTCACCCAGCTGCTGATGTTGTCGTTGGTGATGGCGTCCTCTTCTATATCGAAGGAGTTCAGGAGGTTTATCCTCGCCCTGTGGTGGTGGTGAAAAGCTAGTCACTCATCCTGCGTGTGATAGATGGATTTTGGGATTGAACTCATTCTTGACATTCTGGACACAAGTGGATCCGCTAACATTCCTAGCCGTGGTGCAGGGCGGACGTTTGAAGGTAAGAAAGACCTCACCTGTCCAGGCAGCTCTCATAGTTAAACGTGGCCTTAAAGCCGTAGATGGAGAAGGTGACGACGCTGGCAAAGATGGAGGTGCCACTGTTGATGAGGGAAACGGCGACTGCCTGCCGCTGGACGTCGTTGTGCGGCTGGTTGTAGCTGGCGAAGGCGACCAGGGACCCGAACCCCAGGCCCAGGGAGAAGAAGATCTGGGTGGCCGCATTGATCCACGTGGTGGGGCTGGCCAGCTCCTTCATCTGACAGGCCCCAAACGCAGCACAAGAGCACCATCCATCCATACATCCATCAGAAATCAACACGCATCAGTGCAAATGATAATAGAGAGATACAGTCTGACACGAGTTCTGTTGAAATAGATATTATTTAGTGCGGCTGGACTTGCCCACGGAGATGAAACGTGAGGGAAGCATCACCAATCAGAGTGGAAACAGAGGACCATGAACGTGTGTGACGGTGACTTGGTCTCCTTACCTTCGGCATGAACATGTACTTGATGCCATTGGCGGCCCCGTGAAGAGAGACTCCCCGGATGAAGTAGATTAGCAGAACCACATAGGGGAAGGCAGTGGTGAAGTACACCACCTGTACCAGGGGACGGATTATTTCTGAAATCAGTTAACATGAATTATAAACGCCTAATAAGCAAGCAGCTGTTCCAAACCTGAACCGGATATGCAAATTAGCTACGGCGTGGGGGGCTGACACCAAATGATGAATTTTTGAAAATAAATTACTGAAATAATTACAGTTTTTGGAACATTTGAAATGTATGCTGCTGTTTGCTAGAGATTACTCAGATTAAGTCTTAATATATATAAGTATAATTTCTAAAGGAAGTACCTTCCCAGTGGATTTAACTCCCTTGACGATGCAGAGGTAGACCACCACCCAAGCCATCAGCAGGCAGACAGTCTGGCCCCTGTGCAGACCGCCACCCTCCTCCATGGAGGAGGTGATGTTTAGAGTTTCCCGGTACCAGAAATACTGTGTGGGTGAGCTCACCTCGCACTCCTGTTGTTCTGTTAAGTTGTTGTTAGCAGGACACGCCGCCCAGGGCAGCTCGGCCTGGGAGACAGTCAACGCTATGGGAGTCCTACTGTGGCAGGCTATGCTAACAGGAGCGACACTATATTATATTCTGAGTTAGCACTGGGCAGGTTAAAATTACAGGTCACGGCAACACAGGCCACCCTGCAGTAGGCGCCATAGCATATGATATGTTAGCATAGGCCATTTTATCTAAGTACAAAAACATAGGCTACATTAGCGTAATAGCACTGGCATGCCCAGGCTAACACAGGCTGAACCAGTTCAACCTAGCCACATTCATATAAAAACATCAGAGCAAACCTCATTGGCTTAGCCCATATTAATGTAGCTCTTCTGGGAAAGATAAACATTGACAACTGGAATTGCAGAATGTGTCGCATTTAATGTTAATTACAGGGCAAAGGACCAGTTTAGCAGTATAGTTCTGGCACACATCAATTCATAATAGTGAAGCACGATAGTGAAGCATCGCTTGAATAGTGAAACACTGCTTGAACAAAGGTGATGAGCTCACCTGAAAAGAATGGAAAAGATACCAGAAGGCCCAGGCGATGACCACGTTGTAGTAAATACACAGGTACAGGGATGTCACCACGCTCGCTATGCCTACAAAGTGGTGCGATTCAGAGACACCATCGTCACACAGACAGCAACATCAGTGCTAGAAAATCTTAGTTATGCCCTCAATTACTATATAAACAGTAGCTGTTTCGCATCCTAATTTCTCTAAATGTATTTGTATAGACACAGTTTATTCTCTTAGCATCTAACAGCCTCACATTTTGTTTAGCAGATTCGAAGCGACATAAGCAGACGCTCCCCGGGCTACGATGAGGTCACGTTCCAATAATCGTAAGGTGAAAATAACATAAAGCAAAAGTGCATTTTAATGCAGCACACCTAAACTAAAAAACATCATAGCCTAGCCTAGCCTAGCCAACCTTAAACATGCTTAGAACACTTACATTAGCCCACAGCTGGGCAAAATCATTAACACAAAGCCTGTTTTATAATAAAGTGTTGAATTAGTATGAAAAATCATACTAATCATAAAGCTGAAATATTGTAACCTGTATTTTGAGAAAGCAGAGTCAAACTCTCCCTGGAGCAACTGGGGGGTTAAGGTCCTTGCTCAGGGTCCCAATGGTAAAATCACTCAGCCGGCCACAGGGTTTAAATCAGTAACCAAGCTTCTGATCCAAACATGCCAACCCAGCAAGTCCTGCACCCCCCCTTCCTCACCAAGTCCCCCCAGGTAGGGGCTGATTGCACTCCAGGCCCCGATGCTGCCCAGTCGCATCTTCTGCCCCACGGCCAGTTCCATGTAGAACAGGGGAATTCCCTCCAGGACCAGCATGATCAAGTAGGGGATCAGAAACCCACCTTGGAGAGAGCAGCAGATGGCAGGATTGTGCCTGACAGACTCTTTCAAGCGATGCTCCAGTGATGTGACAGTTTCTGATGCACCAGCCCTTCAACGCCTAACCAAAGCTGACCAGTAGGAGGTGCTATGTCACAATCCTTTATCTTTGTTCTGTATGTATGTAATACTGCGAGTGATGTGACGATCTTTTGTCAGGGAAATCAGCCAGGGGCAGTTACCGAATACACCCCCAAAACTGCTTGGCAGATGTAAATCCAGCTCAGCTAGTTACCTGCTGACTAATGCTGGATCAATGCACTCCCGTACTGCCTGGATCAGTGCTTGGAAAATGGATGGATCATCTGCATTTTACAGTAGTTCCACATTTTGATCACTAATATCTTGATCACAAGTTCCTTAACTGCTGTTCCACACTATCAGAAAAAAAGCGTAAAAACTGTTATACCTTTGCTTGTCACCGGGGCTGTACCCTTGTAATTGTACCTTTTAGGGTTTAGAAATTTACTCTGAGGAACACCCCAAAGGTATAAACAGCATTAATGTACCATCAATGGTACAGAAATGTTCCTCAGAGTCCATTTTTGTACATTTAAAGTTACAATTCCCTACAGCTAAGGGTATAATTGGCAGGGTGCAGGCCCAGTGACAAGCAAGGGCACAAATTTTTACCACTTTTCTGAGCGCATCTACTGCACAACAAAGGCACAAAGTCTGTTCTTAATCCACCCAGCAGTGAATCGAAGCTTGTGGGTTGAAGAGAAGTCCGCCATGCCTATGTTACTGTCCTAGGGGGCGCTGCAGGTGGCTTAGGCCATGTCATCGTGGATTTTTCTCAGATGAAGATCAAGGCCAGACCCTGAGGGCTGCTGTGGGCCCCCTTGTCTGGAAAAGAGTCCCTCAGTACCGGGAGCTTCTGCCTTTCCGTCAGAAGGAGACTCAGGGCCGTAACTGTCGTCACTGTGGCTAGAACTTTTCTGACTTTAACGAGCTGAGCCAAACGAGCTGAATAGAAATGGCTGATTAAGTCGGATAAGGATTACTGTGAATACGTCGCATTCAGAAATACCCCCACTGTGAAGAATTAAATGGTGTTAAAATTCCTTAGGGGAGAATGTGTGAGTTTCGTGGTAGAGTAAGCTGTTTTCTAAAAGAAATTTCTTTTATTCGCATGAGACGTCAAACCCTTAAAGCTAAACCATTCCAAACCAGTTCTGGTCTCTGCTTAATCCTAAATGTAACTCACTGCTTTTAGGGGAATTGCTATTTGTTTTATGTGTTATTTATTTACCCCATCACACAAATTCCAATTCTGTAAACATTTAGACCACAAACATTTTTAATTAACTTTGAAAAATATAGTAAATTACATATTTAACCTGTAATTCTACTGACATTTACCTTTCTGTGTGCTTTATTATAAATATTTTCTCAAAAAGAAATTGTGCAACTACCTGTTACTGGTAAGAAAGGGTAATGCCTGGAGTGGAGAGGGGGTTCGGTAGCACTGCGGGTGAGGAACCACTTACCCCCTCCGTGCATTTGGCAGAGGTACGGGAAGCGCCACATGTTTCCCAGCCCCACGGCGTAAGACACGCACGCCAGGATGAATTGCGCAGGGTTGTCCCACGACGGTCTGCCGTCTGCCTCCATCGGGCTGCCCGCGCTGCTCTCTGTGCTCGATGGGCGCTCCCGCTCTGCAGCCAGCGGCCGCACTCCCTGTAAAGCAGAGTGCGGCTCAGCCCGCCCCCTTTTATTGGAGGGGCTCCCTGTGGGGGGCAGCTGCTTATTATGTGAGGTTGTTGGGATCAGCAGGGGGTCAAGTCCAGTTCTTGTCTTCACTTTCACTATCTATCTATCTATCTATCTATCTATCTATCTATCTATCTATATATATATCTATCTATCTATCTATCTATCATTCTTTGCAGTTTGTAGTTTTGTGACTTCTGTTTTGCGTGACTTTGTATATTTTTATTTATGACATTGATAATTAACACAGAGAGAGAGAGAGAGAGATAATGGCAGGTATGTTTTAATTATAGTACATGCCTGGTGCGCACCTGTTTAGTACCAGTGCCTATATAATGTCTTATTGTTGTAATATGTTATGATGGAGAAACGCCATTTGAATAATAGGTTTGAACCTTCTGGCTGCCCGTACAGTAGAGGGCGTCCAGAACGGCGATGTCACTGAACCTTTTGGCTTAGTTTCTCGTCGTTACCAGCGCGGTATTACCGGTTTTTAGATAATTTCACACTATTCAGTGATCTAATGAGGTCCACGACTACTATATTTTGTGTCCTTTTAAGACGTTTTTGTTAGATTTTTTGCACTGTAAACCCAGCTGTTCAGTAATAGTGCATCGTTGCTGTTTATTTTCTGTCAAAGTGCCTTTACTCAGGATGTCAAATGTGGGTCACTTCATGTACTTTGCTTTTGGAAGTAATTTGCTGAAGGAGAGACTGCAGCTGAAGAATCCGTCGGCGGTGTTTCACTGCTTAGGCCGACTGAAGGTAACGGGGAACACGATGCAGCAACGGTAATGTTATTAGGATAAATGAAAACGGGAGTAATATTTAAATATTAGAAGATTAAAGTAAACGGCATCTGATGTAAGGACGATGATATGACTCGATGTTAATTACAGGGTGTCCGCGGGGTTTTAAAAAGTATTAAAAGGTAGTAAATCACATATAAAGCAAAAATTAAAGCCATTAAAAAGTATTAAAAGGTATTACACGCAAATTTACGAGGTATTAAATTTTTAGATTTTGTCCATTTGTGTTTTAAATTTTATCTGCTAAATTTCTCGCAAATTATTTTAAATGTGGATTAGCTCATTCATTCATAGATGATCTCTGTGATGCTGACGTCATATTCGGTGGTCGAGCGACGTCTTAAACAGTTTGCGCGCTGAAGTACATGTTGACTGCTTACACTCAGAAAAGCTAAGTCATAGTCATCATGGGTAAGTGCAAATTTGCACGTAAGTGGTTAGAGGACCCAGCGTTTAAGGACTATGGAAGTAAATTAATGACAAAAGTCGTTGATGAAAAAAAACACGTTGAATTACACTTATCGAATAAAAACGCATTGCATTAATGACGCTTTGAATTTTTGGGGACTGTAATTTAATATGTGCATACATTTAAACATTGAACATTTCAACTGAAAACATTTCAATCGTAATTTCATTGCTTAAATATTCAGTACAAAAATATTCGGCTTCCAAAATTCAGTTCCAAAAGATACGTATTTTAAAGTGCATGTTTATAATTCAACCACATGAATTCAGTTAATTTAATTTCGCCTCAAAATAAATTTCAAAAGAACAAATTCAGTTGAAAATATTCCATGTGTTTTATTCGCATCTTTATTATTCAAGCAGTAACATTCAGTCCTCTTATTTCTGCTTTACAATATTCAGTCCCGTTATTTTCGCTGTTTCAAATACGCTGCCACAATTTCAGTGGTTTAAAATACGATCCGAAATTCAACCCTCTACATCCGGGACTAGCAGGATGAGCCATAGATTGCCGATAGAGTTCTCTTCGGGAACCGCGATCAAAATGGAGCAAGCGACCAGTACAAGTACTGATTGACTTGGCAGCAGATTTTTGTTGATTGTGTTATTTATGTTTCTTGTCGTTTACTGGTCAATACGATAACTTATTGCAACCCCAAGTAGTAGGTTTTTATGTAAGTAATTCGCTAGCTGCATTAATTATCACCAAACTTATCTTGCTAACGTAAGATGCCTGCAGGCAGCTACAAGGTTTACACACCAAGAGTTTAAATCAGCGTGATAAATTTATGATAATGACAGTCAGCGCTCTCTTTTCGCATATGCGATGCGCAACTCATAAATCAGGAATGCATGAACAATTAAGGCACTTGCCATGAATAGCCTAGTGGATAAAGATATGGACTTGTGACTGAAGAAGTTAAATGCAAGATGTTTTCAAAATCACAGTCACTAAATTTATTCTGTTGACCCATGTTCCCTATTTAAATTCTGTTGTACAGGCCAAAATTGTGTAACATTATAAATCTTTAAATCAGTTTGAAACTTCTTTAAAAACGGTTGCAACTCAATGCCGTGCGGGTTTTAAAAAGTATTGAGAAAGGCATTAAAAAGTGTTAAATTTAACCTCTGGATTTCTGTATATACCCTGAATTAACTGTTTCTCATACTTGGTTCCATTCTATTGATCATGGTTTTTTCGGTTTTGGAAAAAATTAGTTCGTGTTGCTGTAGTCATGTCACACCACTAGGTGACAGGATGTGCCCATAGACTGTAATACCCCTGGTGCCGATTGGACCCTCTTGTTGCAGGATTACTGCCTTACCTTCGGCTTCACGGAAGAGCAGTTTGACAACAGGTGGCATGGGGGAGTAGCCACTATTGAAGAGAGCGAAGGGACTGACGTGTGGGGGGTGATATGGAAGATGAGCAAAGACAACCTCGACAGTTTAGATAAGTAAGTTAAGCATAATAGTTATTTCTTAGGTATCCGCTTTAGGGCAACAGTGTTAGCAAGAGCACAATAAACTTTATTAAAAATTAAAAATAAGTTTAATTAGAATAAAAAACTGCTTTATGAAAATAGATCGAGAATCTTTCTTTTCACTCATATTTTGATGACAGTATTCTAAGTCGAGCCCCGAGTATTTTAGTCCTGATGCCAGTCTTCCTTAAAAAATAAAAACGTGAAGCCCACCTTAGCTCCTGATCTTTTCAATAGCTAGAAACTCCCCTGGTGAAGATGTGTCATTAGAGCAAGAATTATTACAGTGCATTATGTAATAACTGGACAAAATGTAACAAATTGTCATGTCAAATGTAACAGATTATGATGTTATTACATAATGCATTGTCACACACCACGTAACAGCACATTATGTAATAACTGGACAAAATGTTACAAATATATCGATTACATTATAATTTGATATTGCAACATTATTATTATTATCACCATCATCATAGTTATCATTCAATTTCTTAAATTATGTCAAGTTATTACACCGTGTAGCATTATTACATAATGCGTTACAAGAATGTACAAGAATGGGAACTTAACTGTCCCATCCCTGGACAAGCATTAAAACTGTGTATATGTATATACTTTTGACAATCTAAAATGTCAGTGTAGAGGATGAATGCCTGAATTCCAGTTCTAATGTGAGTGTAGCAAATGCCTAGAAATGGACACATACATGTCAATGTACAGTTACGGACTCCTATGGCTCATGAGGTCTTGCGCCCCCTTGTGGAGGCAGGAGGCTGTCGACGTCGGCATGTACAGCCCATTGGAGGTGATGGTGGAAACGGATAGGGGGGCGATCCTCTGTCGGACATACAGGATGAACAAGTTCAGAGCTTCCCCTCCGTCTCCACAGTACAAGGAGGTGAGGACCACCACCCTCCTCATACAGGGGCTCCGAGGCAAAACCTGACCAGTGACTGAGACAGTGCAGTGTGCAGTTTCACTGCAGTCTGGGAGCAACATTCAAGAGTAGAAACTTAAGCCTGTAGACAGACGACCATAAGGCTCCTCTTTAGCAAAGGAGTGTGTCAGTCTTGTGATGTGTGTGACGATGTCCTGTATTCTCATGTTAGGTGGTGTGCCTGGGGGCCCAACAGAATGGACTCCCCCCTGACTACATCAAGAGACTGGAGGCAATGCAGACCAACAACTACGCTGGGCCCTCCATCTTAGATGAAATCAAAAAGGCAATGAAGTGAAAACAGGAAGCAAATGTGTCGCCGTGATTGGTTAGGATGGGTCTGAGCCAGCCAATGGGGTGAGGGCGTCTGAGAATCCAGTCGTCCGTTTGCTTTTCAGCTTCTTGTGACTGAACTGTAAAAATAGGGCCACACAGAGACACTAGAATCATATAGTACAATCATTAATTCAGAAGGTACTTGGATCACATTTTTTGCAGAAAGCTTTCACAGGGGGCCAGAAGCCTTACATCATGATTTTGTATAAAAATTTGCCAGTTTTATGGTTATCTGTAAATCCCTTTTACATGAGTAATTTTTATTGAAACGTAAATATGCCGTCCTAATTTTTTTCAAAAATCACAAAGAAGCTGGTCAATCACAGACACTTCTCACTTCATGACGAGTATTTTAGTTTCACGATGATGTGACAGCGATGCACGTTCCCGGATGTGCGATATGCATCCACGCAGACACGCTTCCAGTCTCTGTAGCGATCGCAAGCACGAACATCTCATTTAACAACATATTGTACTGTGATTTTTCTGTATTTAACCAAATTTACCAACCCTTAATGTCTACTAAACACCCTAGTGTGTCATCATATCATATTCATATTCGACGTATATTGTCAACTTACAATCAGTTAATCGGAATGTAGCCCCATGTTGAGGAACGCCTGTATATCAAAAACAATGTAATACTTACAAACAACAATGCAAATAGATATTTCTGACCATTGTTTCGCAGACCTGATATCTGAAACTAAAGACATTAACAACGCTTTAAAAATTCAGATTTGGTTCTGTTTTTCCACTGTCATCCATGTAACAGTGATGTGATCTGTATTTCAAAGGAGACACATTAAAGTCATAACCTGTATCGATCATAGAATAGGAAGAAGGGTTCCAGAACTGATCCTCTGCAACCTCTGAGTGGACTCCGAGTCCAAGGAATTTCATTACAGGTAATGATGTTCCATTGTTATCTGTATATGAGAATAAACTTGAAACTATTATTAAATCTTCCCAACAACAAGAGGTGGTAAAAATCATTTTTAATCATTTCTTTAATTTACACAATTTTTAATGAAATCTCCTGGTCATACTTTTTACATCTATCTTGCACATCTAGGTAAACTGAAATATTTAAACACCACAAGTAGAATATTCTACGTGTTTGTATGTTTGTAATGTTCCTGATTGCCTAATTATGTGCTACGAGTCAAAGGGAGTTTGGATACTTTCTGCTGGGGGGGGGGCGGGACTGCATGCTGCTCCAGATTAATGCTAGAAGCAAACATCTCAGCTCCATGACACTGAATACAGCTGGAAATAAAGCTGAAAGGGGCTGGTTCTGATGCAAATTATACAACAAAGTGTCACTAATTTTAGCACAGCTTTTGATATGTTTGGATACTGATCAAAGGGTCTCCGTCTGAACTTGATGAAACGGAAAAGCATTGATGAATCAGGAGGAGCAGCTGAACGGGACTGCCCATCACATGACCTCCGCCACGTTACATAACACTGAGGAGGTGGCACTTCGTAATGTGCTATATCTCACAGGGATTGAAGTAACCTGCAGGCCTCTACTACAGGGACGTCACGGTGAAACGGGAAGTTCTATCTAGTATCCAACATTTCTACAGCACGCATCTTATTTTCTTTGGTATCAGAATTCGAAACCCAAGAATATCTAAAGCATTGTTTCAAGTATTCAAGAGAGAGCAGAACTTGAAATGTGACAATTTTAATTAATTAATATCCAGCAAATTCCTTCCCACTACCACTGTAACATCACTCCATGTATCACGCAGTTTTGTTAAAGCAGGATTTTGAAATAACCAGTCTGCAGTATTGCACATAAACAATAACAGTTTCCCAGAACCCTTTGGGATTTGTTAAGGCTTTGATGTGCTGTAAGTCTGCTACATTTTTGCAAGGATGTGGCTCTGAAGGTCTCTGCTTGTCCTGGACTGCTGGTGGCACCTCTGACGAGGTGAAATTCTGGGCCATATGTCCAGCCAAAGATCTCCCCAAGATTCACACAGGCAGATGCGATACCTTACATCTGCCACTTGGGGGCACTCCTGCCCACCGGACCTCCCCAGATAGAATAATTCACTCCACAAAGCACCATAGTGCTGTCTGTCTGAGCCTTGCTAACATGCAGGGTTCTTGCAGATTGCACTGGGAAGGCACTCGTGAAGCTGTATTGTGACCAGCCCGGCCACAGGAACTACACAACAGTGAGAAGTTAGGCAGCAAGACACTTCCTGGAGAGGCGGTGCTGAAGCACACTCAGATGAGTGCTCATTGGAGGAGCCAGTGTCCGTCATCCAGGGGTAGAAGCAGCTGAGCTCCACAGAGGTTTCCTTGATTGGTCAACGCTGTAGTTGAAGGGGAGTCTTAGGAAACCATAAACAGTGAAATGACTGAACGCCTGATGTTGCCATGGACCCCTCAGGCCGCTGACATTGAGGGAGAACGTGTATGTGAACTCATGCAAAGGTGATTCCCTGAAGACTGCTCTTAAGGTTTGGCACATCCAAGCAACAAAGGTCTCACCAGAATTTTTCTTCCTCCTTGGCAACATAAGAAAACAAAAACAAAAAAAAGGAGAGACTGTTTCTCTCTTGGTACTGAAGGACGATTTAATGCCTCAGAGGAAAATCAGGAACCTGTGGTAAAAATAGAACGAATGAAATCCTTCATTGTTTGGGAGCTTCCATGTAAATGATTCTGGAAAATAAAACCTAGGTATTTGAATTCCGTTTCGGGGTTTGGTCTCAGGTTACCTGCACATGGCCAAGACCTTAATCAGAGGGGTGTTCTGGGCATGAACGATTTACTTCAAACCACTCGTCTATACACCTGCAGGAGAAGAGAATGATCAGCACCAGTCCAGGTGCGTGTGTGGATTAGGTTATTTTGATGTTGTGGGGACCATTTTTCAGGTCCCCAAAAATATCTGTGAATGCAATCAAAAAAGTAAAAATATGAAAAGTCTCATACAAACACTCCTCTACTTACGAACTTTCAACTTACAAACTTTCAGACATACAAACGAAGAGGACTGCAAGTCCAAACTGTGTTCCTTGGGCTCCCGTTTCCTGTCCATAACATTTTTTTTTTCTGCACGCCAATTCCGCCTAGTACGACTTCTGGGCGCTACTCCCGCCGCGCAGCGGCGTAGCGTGCGTACTCCCAGCAGTGTAGCGTGCGTACTCCCAGCAGTGTAGCGTGCGTACTCCCAGCAGTGTAGCGTGCGTACTCCCAGCAGTGTAGCGTGCGTACTCCCAGCATCCTAGTTCTTTGTACTTGCGTATACCCATAAAATGAAGTTGAATAACGACTTACGAACATTTCATGTTACGAACGGCCATTCGGAACGTAACTCATTCGTAAGTAGAGGAGCGTCTATATTTTGTTTGGTTACTTATGGCTAAGGTTAGGGCTGGGTAGGGTTTAAGGTCGTCATGTTGGGATTAAGGTCGTCATGTTTTCCCAATAGAAATGAATGAAGAGTCCCCCCCCACAAAGATAGTACCAACCTGTGTGTGTGTTTGTGAGTGCGTGAGAGAGAGAGCAAGGTTACCGTGTGATTAACAGGAAGTAAGCTTGTGCAGATGGACCCCATTGAGCTCCCATAGTAAATTCTGACTTCATTTAGCATTTAGCGTGAATGCTAACCAGGAAATGCATGTGTGTATGTATGTGCTACGAAGGTTACTTCACCCCTTGTGGTAGATGCAGAGGCAGGGCAAGCGGGCGATAGTGTCTCCCTGTTCCAAGTCTTCCAGGCAAATCGCACACTCCCCAGCATCCTTCACCAGGACATCCTCTGCGGAGACAATTAGCAGTAAACAATTAGCTCACAACAGGCTGCCACGTCCACCGGGGCACAGTTGACATTTTCCAAGAAAGCACATGTTTCTGACAAAAGCTGTGTTACAGCTAAGGGTTAGGAAGCAGGGCAAACTAGAACTGAATTACGGTAAAATCCTGAAATGGTGATAAGATGGTCCAGCACATGTGATCTTTGACTTTTCTTCCTTCCTTTCAAACGGTTCGAGTTAGAGTTAGCAGTTGGCAGCATTCGTTCACACAGAAATCAGAACTGCATGTACTCTTTAATAGAAGTCCATATGCTGGTCCCTGCTGCCGTGAGACTGAATCCAGGACAGAGATGCTATCCAGCCCACACTGCCCCCTACTGTTTGGAATCCTTTTCTCTTCCTGTCATCATTTAATAATTGGCTTCCGCTGTGCTTAGACCAGGGATGGGTATTTGTTTTGATATCATACTTTATTAGTCTATTACTTGTAAACCAAAGCAGACTGGGTCCATTTCCTGAGCTGACTGTCCTGGCCGACCTCACAAGGGTACTGGTAATGCATTAAGACAAATTCATTATTAGTGTTTCTCATTTGGGACCGAATGACAACATTCTAATCTGTGAGGGAGACCACTCTCCTAATCACAGGCCTCTTTAACTGCACTCCTATAATCCAAACCAGCCACCAGTCCTCTCTAAACATGTGACTTTGACCTTGTCAGCTCATTGCTCGCACTGAGCATGCTCAGACTTGATAAATGCGTGCAAAACGTGAGGTGATAGAATAGGTCAACCCCTGTTCAAATTTCTGGTTAGGTGAACATCGGGATTGTATTACAAAAATACACAGTAATTCCCTACGACGGGTAAATCAACACAAACATGACATCACTTAAAGTACTTGCTATTTCAGCAAAACACCAAGATTAATTTCCTGTATTGCTGCCAGTCCCGTTGTCCTGTTATTCCCTGTGGTGTTGATTGGGGGGCACCTGCTCACCATTATAGGTGACCCCCAGCTTTGTGAAACACATGACGAGGTGGAAGTCCGTCTCGTCTGCGGGGACAAACTTGGAGCAGACGGGACACCTGAAACCTGTAAACAGTGGAGAGGGACACACAAAAGTTATGAGAACATCACACACACAAGTTATAAGAACATCACACACACACAAGCACATTCGTGTCAAGCTGTCCACTTTGCATCCCACATGCAGTACTGCTCTGGTCCAATTCAGGACCAAAAATCCTGCCCCCTACTGGCCATAACTGAACCTAAATCAACTGCGTAGAATTTTTGCATTCATTTCCAAACACCACATGTCCTTGCACATTACTACAGGTCATAACTGTAACCATGTAACCAGGGACTCAGTGAGCTACACCTTTCCCTGTAGTCACCACAGAGGCTCTCACACTGTTCACAGTATCTGTGGCAGACTAACCCATGTGTTTCTTTTTCCCAGTAACAGAGGGGCTAGTAAAAGATCTTGCCTTTCCAGATTCTTACACTGTGAACACACATCCGCACATCTTTGTGGGGACTTTCCATTGAGTCTTATCTTAATGCAAATAATAATTCCTTTCCATACATGAAACGCAGCCAAAAATAACATAGTGTGGGAGACATTTAGGAGGGGGTTTCCAAAGATAAGGACAAACATGAGCATGATGAGGTGAGGTGAAGGTTCTGATTACCCAGTCATTACCCAGAGTTTTGTTTGGACCAGGGGTAGGCAGCCCTGTTCCTGGGGTGCCGGTATCCAGCAGCTTTTCTGTCCTACCTGGTCTTTAGTGAACCACATCTGATGTCAGGCAGATAAACTCATCAGGTAGGATAGGAAACCTGCTAGATACCGGGCTCTTCAGGATCAGAATTGCCTACCCCTGATCTAAATCGTTGTCAGGTGGCATCAAAGCTTTGCCCCCCACAGCAAGCGTCCTAAGTTTGATACATGAGATGGAACATGACAGCACTCAATCATCTACACCCCCCCCCCCCCGACAGTCCCTAAGTGTGACCAGAATTAACCTCTTTCTTCCAAATCCACCCTCGAAGGAGAAATACATAGAGGTGATGCAGGATCAATACCAAATTCGCCCCACGATTTCCCCAGCTCAGCAAGTCCAATTCAATCCACCAGAACTGCCAGATGCATAAAAAGCAGCGTAACCCAAAGCCGCCGGCCAGCACCGTGGCTCATAACTGTATTTAACGCTGTGCATTTAGCAGCGTAACCCAAGCCAGGATGCCTCACATTTACCGTAACCAGAGCACCAACCTCCGCGGCTTCTGTAAACGACTCTAGAGGATGGACGACTGTAGAGCAAACTGACACCATCTAATGAGAACGCTGGCTCCGTCAGGGACGTCTGTTTGCCCGTGAAAATGCTGCTTTACGACACGGGGGGGTAACTGATAGCATCGTACTTGTTAGGCGGGACACAGAAATGTTAATGCTCTGATAGACGGCCTGCTTTGTGCCGCGTGGAACATGGACACAGGGACGTATGGTCGCACGGTCCTGGACTCCTGAGGTGACACAGGGACACCGGATAGGTTCTCAGGTACAAATCAGTCCCACACCCTGATTACTGGTGTCTGAAGAGGTCAGTGGGGTTTACTGGTATTCTTGGGATAATGCTGTGCAATTCCGGCAAGTTAAAAGCCTTTGACCAGCCAAAACACAAAACACTAGCAGCTACTGGTAGGGCTATTCGATCATGGCAAAAATCATAATCACGATTATTTAGTTCAATATTAAGATCACAATTACACGATTTCTCCTTGACTTCAGAAATATCATGCATACACTGACCTCTAAATGAACTCTAAATGTGATTCAACTGAGAAATAAAAAAAAGGATCTGGAATTAGCGTACTGGATTTATAACAAGACAAAATGAGAGCATCATTGCAAAATGAATTGCAGCGTGATAATAATTTTATCTCAATTATTTTGCCTTGATAATTGTTGGAAGCCAAAATTGTAACTGAAATTATAATTTGATGAATTGCCCAGCCCGAGCTATACTGGGAATTCATGGGCAATAACTAACAATCAGATGACGCACAGCAGACCATTGTGTTTAACGGTGTGCCACTACAACCGATAGCCCATTTGAAGAAGACCACAGGACTTTGTGTTCTGACCAAACATCTGCCTCCCAGCTTCATCTAAATAAGCATCTTAAATGGCAACCCGTTTAGAGGGATCCCCCACAGCACACTGAGATTAACTCATCCAGGCTGACTGGGTGAAACCATGGGAACAGATGCAGTGATGTTCATCCGATGCCATCCTGGGAGAGACGCGATGCATCGTGACTGAGGAAAGAATAACAGAATATAACAGTGATACTTTATTAATCTAAGTAAATTCTCTTTTCGGCCAACGCCATCTTGTGTGCCATGAGTCACAGACACATATAGAGGTGAGAACAGGCATGGGAGTCACAGTGCAGAGTCAGTGCCATACGCCTGGAACTGGGGCCTTAGAGCCCTGTTAAGGGGCCCACAGACGTGACTATTCTGCCAAAGTTGGGGTTCAAACCAGCAACCTTCCAATCATAGGCACAGAGGATCACCCTGCTGAGCCACTTACTGCCCCCAAGACCTAGAACTGGGGTCTGCACATTTTTGGGTTTCCACTCATTTAACGCACCTGATTCAACTTCTCTGCTAATTACCACCCATTTCTTCAGCTGAATTGGGTTTGGTGGAACAGGGAGAGAACTAAGCTTTGCACGGCTGGGGCTCCCCAGGACTGGAGTTTGGAGATCCCTTAGAACATGGAAACTACTCCAATAGAGCAAGGTGATCAGAAAAGTCACCTCACAGATAGCTTAGTAAACATCTCACAAACAGCCGAGTGGCTTTGGGATCCAGCCACTGATTTCAGCTTGTCTACATTCATGGAAGCCTTTTGACCGGCAAACAAGAACACTTACAAGAATCTTGCCTTTTGCAAAGGAGAGTTTCTCACACAGAAAGAGTCAGAAAGTGGCCATTTATGCAGTCTGTAACTTCTTATTTAAGAGGCATTGTCTTTGTCAAGGTTGAGAGTGCGGCTTCCTTTATCGTGCATACACTACTGTCCACTGGAACTAGAATTCATTAATCAGATGCTGTAGACCATGAAGACTCACAGGTTCAGAGCACAATAGAGTAGAGCTGAGTTACACCCTCAATTTAGCCCATGGTCCTTCACAGCCTGGTGGTCATGGTATGCGTGATGTCACTTCCAGCACATCGCACTCCTCATCACACAAAAAAAGCCAAGTTTATCTTACAAAACACACCACCCAGGGAGACTGAAGCCGTCAGCTTAGGGTATGAACCACAGCGAACATGTCAGATTTCTGTGCAGTCACTATAATCTTATTTTACATGTCACAGCTGATGTGTACAGCAAATATGAGGAAACCTTGGTGAAGACCATAAACGCACAGCTGCAAAGTCATGCCGTTACAGACCACAGGAGCATAAAAACCACATGGTATATTAAGAAAAGGCAGACACTTATTAACTAGAACAGCCTGCAGAGCAAACAAGCAGAGTGGGAAGAAAATTAGGGGGTTTCTCTAAGAAAAGGCTAGATGATCACTGAGGTTCTCTGAAGAACTACTATGAATATCTCCTCAAAGGCAACACAGCATCTGACACCAGTGGGTGTCTAATAACACAGGTAATGCCGCCCACCCCAACCCAAAGCTGTAGAGGAGTAATTATTAACAGAAAAGATCATTATTACTGAAGAACGCCAGGATAAAGGATCACGGGAAGATGGTGGTCCCACGACACTGGCTTCATCTTCTAGCTGTGGGACTGTTCCAGTGTAGGATCAGGGAGTCGCCTTGTTCAATGCGCTTGCAATGCTGTCCTTAACGTTAGAAAGTCAGTTTAGGGCATGTGACACGCTCTGGGGGGTCTTGACTGGCCCCGAATCGTGCTGCGGTGACAGGAGCGCCCGTCAGCGATGTTTACAGCAGATGCAAAGCGCTTGTTTTCACACAATGGCTGAGTTTCGTTTTTTTTTTTTTTTTTTTTGGGGGGGGGGGGGGGGCTGCAGTTCTGGTCAGTGAACCTGCTGATGACTTTAATCTGGGTGAAAAGTGAAGCTGAACTAGCGCAGCTCTCCAATGAAAGCCATGTGACAGACAGACAGACAGAAAAAAAAACCCAAAAAAAACACGGGGATACAATGGAGGAGATCAAAGCGAGGCATTGTGATGCACCTTGACACATGAATAGATGGGGTGTGGTCCAGCATCTGGCAGGCCTGGCTACACGATACACCGATCAGGTCTCACCCCAGCTGGGAGGCCGGGCTCCTCCCTCAGCACGATCCTCATCAGCATCGCTGGACCTCCCACGTCAGCCCAGTGCACCTGGCCTGTTCCTTCACCTTACAGACCTCTTGGTCGGCCCTACCTTGCCCTGCCCCCTACAGGTGGTTAAGCCACCCATAATGCACTACTCCACCTCCCACCACAGGAAGTCCCCACAAACAGCACAAAACATAAGAAGAGACTGGCGGTTATCAGAAGGACAACAGGAAAACGAGGGAAAACTCCAACCCACTACCCACCCCTAGGTCTAATGGAATGGACCTAATGCTGTGCAAGGTTTATTCTTGATGTCAATAAAATAAAAACCATAAGCCATCATGCAGCCCGGTTCGCCGCCCTCCTGCTCCCATCGCCACAATCTGCACTGTTACCATGTCCAGACCGCGATAACAAGCCCCAAGTATCGGGAAAATGAGCAGAACATGCAATAGGGCCCACAAGACTGGAGACAGGGTTTGGCCCTAAAGGCGAAATGTATACACAAGGTGGGCATTATAATGACCCAGCATCATCACAGCTTAACACACTCTAATAATCAGTTAAGTCTAGTTACAGTACACAGATCTGAGCTCAGCACATTAATAAAAATGACTAAACGTGGCTCAATCACTGTTACAATGAGTTTAATAATTTACCATTCTGACTATCAGAAGCAAGGTGGACAGCCCAAGTACAGACAAAGTCAACAACACAACCATTTAAGGGATGGATTCTGGGTGCCTCTGGATAAACAGCGGTCCCCTGTGTCGCCTAAAGGTGAAAAGCTGTCCTTTGTTTAGTCAGGGAATCAAGTCAAATTAATTTGCAGGCTACACATCCCAGAAAGGCTGTATTTAACAAGAATGGAAAGACTGTGTACTTGAAAGTTTTGGCAGGCCTGTTGATACATAAAACACAGAACTTGCTACTGGAAAACTTTCACAGCCGTGGCTATTAATTACAACGTAAACACTCTGCAGCGGGCTCAGCCAAAGTCATTCTGCACAGTTTCCCATTTTGCAGTTTTCTCAGTTTTGAGGTCTGAACCAAGAGTGGGTTCAAATCCAACAGCATATCCAGGTAAAATTAAGTAATGCTACAACGAATTGAAGACAGTTAACACTGCATTTCTACAGTGCCTTTGTCTTGCGACCACAGCTTGTTAATGTGCAAAACTGCTTATCTCATTATAAGTTTCATTTGAAGTAAGGGGGTAACCCCATGAATACTGACGTCACTCGTGTCTGACGTCATTTCTTACCTTCGAAGACGTGAGGCGAAAGGTGCGTAGGCAGCGAGCCAATCAGGAAACGCGGCGCTCGGGGGGCGTCGCTCTCCTCGGAGGCACCGGTGCTGTCGGACTCCCGACGCCTGGCGATATTCAGGCCGTCTGGATGCACAGACTGAGGTCGAAACCCAGATCCCCCTATGGCGTTGGCCACGGATCCAGGTGCAGAGGCGACCCTCGGGGTGCCGTGCGTTGCAGCGCTGTACGCCTGGTACCTCATGGCCAGAGCCCTGCCACTGCTGTTACTAGAAGCACTGGGGGCGCTTGAAGGCATATCCGAATTAGAGTATGCTCGGGTCCTGCCATTCGCAGCTGGAATACTCTGCTTAGTCCCCATCTTTGTTTCACCTGATACCAGCTTTAGCGAATCGGCGGCTAATCAGTCATACGAAATATTTTGCGTTTAAGGCACAAGGTGCATAATGGACAGAACAACAACGCGTTACAAAAGAAAAAACGATAGACTACACTAATAAATCGCACATAATTAACCGACTGATATCAGACAATCGCAGATGACGGAATAAACAACAAACGAAAAAATAAGTTTGAAGCAACGATGACGGGCAACCAAAAAAAAAATCTTAAAAGCGCTCAAAACTCAAAACAAGACGGCGATCTGCCGGTGGCACTTGTTGAACTCCGGCTCTTAATGTATAAATTGTTTCGGGGTGGAATCTGCTTTGCGATCCCAGAAGCACGTCCACCGCCACAAAGCCGCTTCCTGAAAGCGACAAAGTGAAAGAAGGCCTCCTCATGGGTCTCTTCTGAGCGACTACAGACCTCTAGCAAGGTGGAAGCATTGCAACGCCAGGGAGGGCGGAGGGGAAAGGGGGGAGGAGGAGGAGAGGAGGGCAAACGGACAAAAACCGGTCGGACCGCCGAGTGAAAATGCAGCCATCCTAAGCTGCTGGCCGGGCTGAACTGACACGGTGCCTCCCACTCACGGCGCGTCAGGCGACGTCAGTGTCACAACAAGCTGTCAAAAGCAGCCTGAGCCACGCAGACGAGCAGGGCGATCCTGGGGCATATATCAGCTGGCAGGATTTCGGGGCACGACGTCCTCCTCCTCAAAACACTCTCTGAAGTTAACAGACCAGATATTGTATTGCTAGAAGCGCCTGATGACATGAAGGTTTTCCACTTTTATTTTACGTCATTGTTTTCTCTTTAAAGGTTTTTTCGAAGAAATGGGCGAGCGTAGAGACTTGATGTAGCGTAAACGATCATAAGCGGCTGAAATTAAAGTATATTGCGAGCAGTATCTTAATGCGAATCATCATTGGCTTCTTATCGTAATGTCGCGGATTTAAACTACATTTAAGATTGGAATAAATTTTGCACTTTTAAAATACCACATATCTGAATAACAAGTTGTGCTTGATGTGTGGAGGTGTAATTTGATACATGCAAAAGGCGCTCTTCAGGGTCTCCCGTATCACATTCTCAAAACGACATGACTGTTTATTACGGAAGCGTATTACTGCCACGACATAATAAAAAAATATTCTTACTGTCGTTCTTATTATGTCGTGGCAGTAATACGCTTCCGTAGTTTATTAATGTGCGGCCTACATTTAAAAAGTTAAAAGGTGCCACCCAGTGCTTCCTACTATAGGTCTGGAAAGGGGGAACACAATGGTCTTCCCATTTACAAATAAGGCCTATTAAAGCGCCGACTGAGCCTTAACACAACAAAGGAGCGCCGCATTTGAATTGAACGTATTTATTGTTCTCAGTAGTGGGTTATAAAGGAAGGGAAACTAATGACCTTATCCCCCTAATTAGGAACGTTAATTATAATATACATTACCTTAAAATACATGCTGATTTAGCCAGTGGAGTGACCTACATTATTGCTGTAATGTTTAACCCAAATGCGCGCTGTGTTTATTGCATCAGCGTTTGCTTAATTATTTGTCAACTATCTACTTTGCAAATATAACCGCATATATGGCTGTTCTTGTCCATTGGCGCGGAGTTATAGGTTAGGTTCTCTTCCCACAATGTAACAAATACATACCACATCCTGTTTGCTTCACCAAGGTTGTAAAATATAGACCATAAAATAGAGTTGGTATGGTTTCAAATCGCAAAAAATAGGCATACGTATTATATGCGTAATCATTTGTATTTCGGATAGCCGCTTTTTGCAATTGGAGGCCAGCTTTTGAATGTTTTTGGTTTACATTGGCAGGGCAAACGCGAATAAGAACGTCAACTTCAAGTTAAACGTCAGCATGGATTACTTAGTATGTATAGTTGTGAATACTTTAGTGTGCCACGTGTTTTTTAAGGATTACAGTTATTAGACATCAAGACTCAGCCTTGCATTTATATTCCGTTTTTAATATTTGAATACTTCCAAGGTCTCAGTAGATTTTCCGAACTGCACTGCGTTCGTCAGACGAAATGCCGACCCCTGCTGTTTTTAGTAGGAAGTGCAGATTACTTTAAGGTAAACGGTACTAGTTTATCCACCTTCCATCGGCCGGCAAATCCGCCTGCCACACGGTCAGAACTTCATTTCCCCCATTCACATATACTGCCCTCCAGTAAAATGCTATATTGTACCTGAAAGCGGAAAGAATCTGATATATGTACTTAAAACATGGTACACATTTACTGAATCCCCTACAAAGGGGAATTTGTGCATTTATGTGCATAGCAATCCTGATGCTTTTGTATAACTGATACCATTTTTGTAGGAACACTCAAAGGATGAGGCCAGGGGAGACTGCTGGGGTCCAGTGTAATTAGTTTTGCATGGCACTGGCTCAATCAGCTGCCTGTGTCATCAGGCCAGAAAGGGATGTGGGGTTAGCAGGAGGCCAGTCTTGCTGAAGGGACATGGAGAAATAATTTGGCCAAATAATGATAAAAGTAAATAGAGCAGCTGCAGCAAGAATAAGGCATAAGTCATGCGGATTGCAGTGCTGATTTAATTCAAGCTTCAGCCTAATCAAAGCAAGGAAGTCCTTCTCAAAACACATACACACCCACACACACACACACACACACACAGAAACCGAACATTTTTTTCCAACATGTATTTTAAACTTGAGATTCACACTGTTGTAGAAAACAAAATGCACAAGGAAAAACAAACGAACAAACAGAAACATCTGAGGAAGCAAACGCAGGTTGAATCGCACAGATGAGCCCTAGTGCTGTTCAGGTTCTCAAAAGCTGCGGGGAGACGCCTAACTCGAGAGCGGCGGCGTCTCCTGAAAAAATCCGACGGCAAAAATTGGAAACCCAAGGAGAAATAAAGACGTAGCAGCGGCAGCAGCTCGGAGAGAAATCGTGGCGGATTTCAGCGGATCTGGTGCGCCTCTGGTGTGCTGTGCAGCGAGCGTGACAGGGAAGACGATCTGAGCTGAGGAGAACGGGGCGGGGTTAGGGTTAGGACCCTGGGATTTAAGCGATAACAAGTGACGAGGTCAGGGAGGTGACACGGTGTCCCAGATAACAAGTGACAGTCTAGTGGCATCACTGCCATCACTGCGACATTCCCGGGAACTCAAATCTTCTCAGCAGCTGAAGTGTATTTATTGTATGGAAGATTGACTGATGTATGGTGTGAGTACCTAGCAATCTCCAGGAGGAGGATCCTGTCTGCCTCCACAGGGCGTGCCTGCGAACGGTGGCATTCAAGTCGACCAGTGAAGAAAAAATACTCTGACGAAGAAGTTTTGCTTCTTTTTTTTAAACTGGTTTATCTGTTAAGGCTGAACTCGTATATGTTATCCTCTCGCAGAAGTTCTTCTGTGGCACGTCAAAAGAAAAGAAATTGACATCACGTGAATGTTGGAAATCGTGTTTTTCTTTGTTATCGGCTATTGCAAAGCGACTCGGTCCTTCACCCCGAGGTATATTCGGAGGAACAATGAAGGTGCAGCTCTTCGGTGCTTGAGTGTCAGTCACCTGGCCTTGGAGGAGCTTTTGAAAATGCAGGGAGGGGTACGGCCTAATATCCACCAAGGACAAAAATATAGAAGCCTGGGGCATTTCATTGATTGACAAAACAATAAACCGCAGGTTAACCCATGAATGGAATAACAGAGAGTGATGCAGGGCAGTGCCCCCATGAACCGGAATGTTCTGCCATGCCAAATCACAGACAGATGGACCAACCACCAGACCCAGCCGGCACATGTGGAGCAGTTATTCTTGTTTTCTTACAGTTTTATTGCAGCCAGCTGGATATTTTACTGACTTCTACCGGTAGCCTTTTGGTTACATCTGCATCCTTAACCTCAATGTCATCTGCTGTCCTTCCTGGTCATTCCCACAACTCACTAACCTGCCAACATGTGAGATTCACTCCTCACGTACACCCAATGCTGAGTGGTAGGCTCTCAGCCTGCAGATGGGGTCACATGTCAGCTTTCAGGCTCACTTATGTAGCTTCTGGACTCCAAGGGCTGGTTTCCACCTGCTGAGGACGTGCAACAGCGCAAGCGGCAGTCGTGATATCATTTTATTAGAAAAGCCAGGCACCGCATTTGAGGGATGACATTTGAAATAATGTGGATGGTTCGTCCTGTGATGTCAGTGTGCCCCGATCGTTAATTAGCCAGGGGAAAGGTTAAGCAGGAAGTCAGAAAGGAGATCAGACTAAAGATTGTATATGAACATCTTTTCTACCCTCTTTGGACAGACTGAAAACAACCGTGGCTAGTGGATCTGAAGAAAGGCTCAGTGAGGGACTCAAGGATTCCTCGTTACAGGATTAAGACTCCCAGATGGCTGCAAACTAAAATAAAATGACTGTAACCCCAACACCATATACCTGTCCTGGTCCTTGCATACTCTAAGCATAAAATGCATGATTAATTTTAGTAAAATAGTGATTCTCAATATAACATCCATGTCATACTTCATAAACCTAAGACACTTTGCTCTACAGCGCCACCTCAGGCCTGGCATCAAAGTACAAGGTGGCCAGGCACAGTGGCGCAAGAAATATGAGTGTCCAGGAATGCAGACAGTCTTGTACTGAGGCGTGCTGTGACACATTGGCATCCGCAGGGGGTGGGAACCAGCCCTAAGGGTTTATTGCAGTGAAGTTGTGCAGAAGCATGACACTGATCCACGTAACCAGGACCAACCCTCTCCCCCCCCCCCACCCCCGGCGGGTCTCTCATTACAAAGTCAAAAGACAGTAACCTCTACTGATCGTTTTCTGCTCTCAGACTGATTAAAATTCTGATAGCAAGTGCTCTGAATCTGGAGTTTTTGATCATGAAATGGCGAAAAGAATGGCGAAATGAGATGAAAGCGGAGCGAGAAGCACAGCTGGATGATTCCCGAATCTTCCTGAAGGGGGCCACGGCGCTCACCTCCGGGCTCGACGAGCATCCACCGGTATAGATACGCTGGGGCCCTGGTGGAAGTCCCAGGCGTGGGCTCCTCAAAGTGATGAATCACTAACTGAATGACCAAATAAATACCTTCTACCCTCCACCTGCACCAAAGGCTGGGTGCCCAAGATGGACACCTGAATCTAGACGGGAGGTCCCCTGGTGGCAGGGCATCAGAAAAGCCATGGCACTATGGAGAGGAGCTCCTGAGCAATACATCTACAAAGCAGAACAGGAAGTGATGCAGAGGGGGAACTGGAAGGACGCCATTATTACCCAGCATGCATCTCTCTGCAGGTAACAAAAGGCCAGCAGCCACTGAATAATATCTTAGTTATTCAGTTTCTCGACATATTATTTCATTCAATACAACTCAAAGTGTTTTTCAGCTGTTTGGTTCGACAAGCCCAGCCAGACAAACTGAATGCCGCAAAATCATGTTCCAGTGCTCAGCTGTTCACACCCAAAGAGCTGAATGTTCTAGAACCAGAACAAACAGCTGAATGGATCTGTGAGTCACATGCAGGACAAGCACCAATCATCCGTCAGCCTCTGCCAGTACCACGACATGTGACCAGTTAATGGGAATAATGGGAGCTGCATCCATTGTTCCTCCGAAATCCCAGCAAAGGACAGAGTGAAATATAAATGGAGTGAAGAACAACTCAAAGAATTGAGCATATTAGGGACTTTGGGTCTGTTCTATGTCTGTATGGGTGTGGATGTGAGTGGGGGGGTCTGGGGGATGGGGGGGGCGGGGCCTGAGGCATTCTGCACGGATATGGTTACTGCTGGCTAACACCCATCTGCGGGTGATCAGCTTCTGGCTCCTCCTCCACGTCGGCGTGATATTCCTCAAAGGCATCGTCCTCCATGTCCGGTAAGCCCAGGAGCTGCGGGAACACACCCAACACATGGGGGAGGGGGGTGGAGAAGGGGTGAGATGCCGCAGGTGTAGGAGGATAGCACCCTGCTGCCTGAGCTGTGTCATAATCACCTCCTCTCCCATCAAGCTCTGCAGCTTAAACTCTGCATGTAACATCTCTAAAAGCTTCATCCTAGAAGCCTGGGATGAAGCTCACACTGACAGGAATGTCCACAGAGAAGAAAAGAAGGACGTGGTTTCAGAGGTGCTGAAAATGACATCAGAACATCAAGAGCGAGCAGTGTGATTTGCTTGTTCACTCCAGGCAGTGCTCTGGGAGAAAAAAAAAATCCCTCATACACAAGAAGCCGGCAACATATTGCAACATTTCTATTTTACTTTCTACAATTAGCGGACACTTTTGCCCAAAGCAACAACAAAAGCCATACTTAAAGGTCAGACGATAACCCTGCCAAATGGGATTTGACCCCATAACCTTCTGCAGCAGACCCAGATCATTAATGTATTACATTTATACTAAGTTAAAGCAGAAATGCATTCTGATCTGAGTGCGAGCTGTAGAATCTGCCTTAGTCACTTGATTCTATTTCCCCTTCTTTACAGACGTAAGTGACCTGCATTGTTTTAACTGTGGCGTTTGTTTCTGAACCAATGGCTAGAAGCACAGATGCTAAACAACTGCATTTTTGCCATGGTCCAGGCAACATGGCCCTCGTCAGCATGCGTCATAAATCTGACGAAGGGAGTTGGGCTGGATGGGTGATGGGTGGCCACATCACTCACCGGCCTGAAGGATCTGAGGACCTTGTCCAGGATCTCCAACAGGGTCTTCTTCCCACAGGAGGAGATGTAATCCTGGGCCAGCTGCAGGAAGGGCAGGCAATCCTCGCTCTCACTCCACACGTGCTAGGGAGGAGCAAGAGCACCAATCAGCGTGCGCACGACACTGACTGACACTGGCAGCTGACCAATGAAAGCGCAGTGTCAACTACCTCCACCCCCCCCCCCCCCCCCACACACACACACACACACACACAATATCAACCCCATGAAAGGCATCTGGTCTAAGCCCAGCCTTTGCAGGACCATCAGAAATCCTGAGTTAGGCCATAATAACATGCCAAAATACAACAGTTTTGAGGGTTTATGGAAACTTCTCAGATGCCAGCGTAATTCATTCTTATCAGTGCTCAACTAATCATGTTACAGACTCTAGCAAATAAGCTCATTCATTCATGCCATTAATAGACCCTTTAGAAGCAGATAAAGTGAGCAACAGGCTAGGGCTGTACGACGTTTGCCAGAAAGCAACACCATTCCTGTCTGTGTGCTACAATGCTCACACCTCCCCCCCCCCCGGTGGTTTCTGTCGGCCAAGAATGACGATCATGGGGTTACATGTGGGGGTACCGTCCTGCAGACACCAAGCCGCCCCCCCCCCCGCCCCCCCCCCCCACCACCTCCCCCCTTGTACCACATTTTCTGACCTACTAAACGAAAATACAGAATTTCGATCTTACGAAGCAGGAAAATCTCCAGTGGTTTTGATGTTGGAGCGGCGTGATTTTCCTGACTGTTCTAAATTTGACTAGCTGTTCAGTGAGGTGGTACAATCCTGCTGACAGAGATCATTATAAAAACACTAGATTTGTTTTATTTAGCAACTTTTTTTTAAATTCACAACGCTGTCCCTCAGTCTCACCAAAGAGACCTCATGCAGCGGCCCCACCCGCTATCACATGACCTCATTAATCACTGGGGTTTCTACACAAATCAAATAAACAAAATTGTAAACATGCTGCTAATTAACCGGAGGAGTAAAAATCCAAACCAGGATTTTGTTTCAACGAACCAGTTGAGTATAAAAAGTCACAGTCACAGAGTACTCAACTGTTTGGTTGAAATGAAATCCTGGTTTGGACTTTTACTTTCTGGACCTGAAATGTCCACCTCTGTAAATAACTAGCTGTACAGCCGTCTGAAAACAAAAAGATTTTTTGTTTATATAAACGTTGTGTCACTATGGTCACTAAAACTCGTACTGAAGTTCATTCCATGACAAAGTTAGCCTGACAGCACTGGGGTAAGGTGGAACTCATCCAGCGATGGCCAGTCGCAAGTTTTGCTTCTCGAGCCACTGGTTTTGATGGTTTGTGTTTCATTCCAGCACCACAGCACATTTCAGGGTGGGTTGCCTGTCTCCAGCAGAGAAACATAATTCCGATGAGCTGCTACACGGATTTGGATTTCTGAGCCACACAGACACAAAACAAATCCCTTTGGGTGTTTAAAATCCGACAGATATCCCTGCTGGCCACTATAGGCCCCCCATGGGCTGCTTGGGTGGCTGCAGGCTGCCTGCCGTGAAAGATACTCTGATCCTCCAATCAGCATGCCCCCTGCACTCCTGCACTGTACCATGTAACCTGCACTGTGTCCCATGTCAGCATGCCCCCTGCGCTCCTGCACTGTACCATGTAACCTGCACTGTGTCCCATGTCAGCATGCCCCCTGCGCTCCTGCACTGTACCATGTAACCTGCACTGTATCCCATGTCAGCTTGCCCCCTGCACTCTTGCACTGTACCATGTGACCTGCAGTGTGTCCCATGTCTGTATGCACCCTGCACTCCTGCACTGTACCATGTAACCTGCAGTGTGTCCCATGTCAGCTTGCCCCCTGCACTGTACCATGTGACCTGCAGTGTGTCCCATGTCTGTATGCACCCTGCACTCCTGCACTGTACCATGTAACCTGCAGTGTGTTCCATGTCAGCTTGCTCCCTGCACTGTACCATGTAACCTGCACTGTGTTCCATGCCTGATTCCATGTACATGTACAATTAAGAGCAGCCTGGTCCTCCTGACCCGACAGGCACAGTTTTTCAAATCAGTCCCATCAAATCGTGGACTGCGGAAGAAGGGGGCCTTTGCTTCCAATTACCTGCTCTCCAGACCCTGTTTGACGGATCAAGAGCTCAGGCATTTAGGATATTCTGGATTTGACGTCCATTGCCATCCGCAGAGCTTTAAAAATGATGCCAATCTGCATAGCTAGTGGGGTGATACTCCATCATCGACATCCCCATCTTATTCTGCTGGACACTTACCCCCCCACCCGCTTTCAAACTACCCTGTAATAATTTAGTATCGATCCAGGGCCGTAACTGGAGCTCGTGCTGTGAGTTATTTCTGGACGTAGCGGTGGGCCAGGGTGATGGAGGTGGACTGTGCGAATCAGCGTGCAGGGACATTGTCGGGGGGGGGGTGGTCATTTCACAAGGCCAGGTAATCTCTCTGCTCCTGGCTTTCCAAGGGCCCCCAGATCGAGCAGCGTTCCCTGTGCACCTGCTCGGCTCACGGTTCTAATCAGGACTGCCACTTCTCCGGAGTCCCCAGCAGTGGAAATAATTCGGCATTGCTCCACTGGGGTGGGGGGGTTGAGGCTGGGAATTATTCCCAGACTGTCAGCAGATCACAGCTTCATCCAGGTTGTTGGTGCCAGTGAGCTATGCCTGCCTCTGGTGGGGGTGGGGGGTAGCAGGCTAGTGTGAAAAGGGTGGGGTCGTTGGGGGAGAGAGGGGAGTATGTGCACATGTCACCATAACTAAGGAAGACCATATTGTGTGTGTGTGTGTGGGGGGGGGGCTTAGTGAAGTGTGTGTCCTGTGTGGCATGAGGGTGCCTTACGATTGGCCACTGCACTCAGAAAAGGCTCCCATGGAACTGATATGTTTTCACTCACTGGGGTAAATTCAGAGTATACATTTAAGCCAAAGGTATAACAGAATGACCCTTCCTGAGACTGGATCCAACAACTTTCATGTCCATGTTTTTAGCTATTATAGTGCATGCAGGCTTCTACAGACGCATTCACTGTATATTTATATATCTAATAGTTATCGTACATTTAAATGACTCCATTGCAGAGAACAGAGATGCCGGCATCTTGCTACGCACAGGGTCAGTTAGCAGGGGGGCTGGTAAACGTGCAGCCGTCATAGACTTCATGACTTAAACCGGGACTGTGAGCAATAAGGACCCGCGATGGCTACTGGAATTCAGCAAAAGCACCCCAGCGTATCCCAGGCTGAAACACCTATTAACTGCATTGCCGTTCGGACTCTAGTGCCGATGTAATAGATTATCTTCGTCTAGGCCAGATAGTCAGAAAATGGATCCCACAGCAAGCATCGGTCTCCCACGCCCTCCCGTTTCATCCTGTGGCGTTGGAGGAAAAGATAACAAACGTCCAAAAAGCCCCGCAATCAAGGTAAATATTACCGTTAATCCTTACATATACTGCTTTTCCCCACCTAGTTTTTAGTCCTGATTTAACACGGAATACGGAATTACATGGAGCAACCTTAAAGAAATTGCAACCTAGTCTGGGTGCACCAAACTGCGGTTACTCAGCGCATGACATCATTGCATTCGCCGCACACCAATGCATCTGATCGCGAACCATATCGGATCCATTTGAGTGGGATCCTAACCCAGGGGACATCAACAGAGCCCTTAGAACGACGCACAAGCAGTCCCTCTCGCATTACGTTGTGTCATACTCACAAAATTGTCGGCGCCGCCATTCACATTATCCGGGCAAAGGACATAGAAGGAGATTCCCGGTTCGGCATAGAAATCCAGGCGTCTCTCGTCGAACTCTTCCGCGAATATGAGATCGAAGGGGTTGCCCGCGCACCACTTCTCCGCCGTGTCAACCAGCTGCTTGAACTCCATCCTTGGCCAGCTGTTTCGCTCACCTGGGTGGCCGCACCGAGACTTATCCTCCTCGCTCAGTGATGATCGATGCACGAACGGCTGACGGCGCTCCCCCGGGCTCCTAGCAATCCGTCAGCATCATGCATGAGAAAAAAAAAAGAACAGCGAGCGGCCGTCAATGTCTCACGTTCATCTGTATACGGCGTGTTGCTCCCGTCCAGCTCCGTCCGCGAGGAAGAGGAAAGGATGCGCCGCGCCGGGGATCGGGCTGTCACACACAGGGGCACGGCCAGCGGTGACGTCAGGTCCCTCTGCCGGTACGATGACGACATGCAGAAAGCGCCGACCAATGGGAAGCGGCGGAGCGTGCGGATCGGCCGGTGGCGGACGTCGCTCTCGCTCGCAATGGACACCGGCAAACGCGAAGGAAGAGATTTTATAAGCAGTAAAAGACCCAATCTTCCGAGAAATATGGATGGAAATGCGTTAGAAATTGTAAGCGAATTACACTTCTATTAAATATTCGAACTCGTACATTTTTGGTGCAACTTGAAACACACACGTTTCAAACCCTCACCCTTGTGAATATCACACATTTGCATCCACTGAACCAACGTGCTGTCCCAATAAATTATACAGTATGCATTTAGGCTATATTACATGCCTATAGGCCTGCATAGGGTACACAACATATTGCTGTGTAGATTTGATTCATTTTTAATTGAATTTGTAACTAGTTTAAAGAAATCCCCATAGACATAGCATGCGGGATGGTGCTACAAAAAATAAAATGTTAAAAATAAAATTTAATATACTTCTAAAATACGTGTGAAATTTCCCATGCAAATTTGGCTCGCAAATATTTCTGCTTAGCTTTTGTTTAATTACAGCAGGACGAAGGTTGTCTTCTGATGCATGCAGACGGGACCCGTTATTTAAAAGTCTCTTGAAGCTGTTATGTCACGTCTACGGCTGGATAGAAAACCAGAGCAAATTTCGTCATTCCAGCTGAGGAAAAAAAATGAAAATGGCAAATGGATCAAGGCAGAATTTTTCTGCGGTGAGAGTCGCCCCTTGTGTCATTTTTATTGAGCAATAAGGACGCTGCTTATTTGAACATCCGGAATAAACCAGGATGCAAGCAGCCCCATCTGCTCTCCAACAACCAATTACTGCGCCGAACAGGAGCCTACAAGTTTGGAGATGCTGGACAGTAGGATCAGATGTTTGAAAACCAAAATCAATAATAATAATATATTTTTTAAAAAGAGTTTCACTTTCAACCTTTGATGACCATAAATCTAGGTTAAATTCAATTCAATTTTATTTGTATGGCACGTTTTCACGTTACATTGTCTGAAAGCGCTTTACATTATCCCTGCCCAAACCCCCCAGGTTAAACTTCATATAAGTCAGCAAAAAAAGTTGCTTGTGATAAAGGGGCTTACTTTAAGCAGTAGAAGCTCGTGCATGCTCCTCGTTGGGTAGGCTGTGTGTTACAAGCATTCCCGACCTTCGGGCTTCACTTACCGCCAGAAACCTGACAGAGGGCGTTATTCAGGTGATATCATCGTCTCGCGCAGCGTTTCACGTGAACGTCTGACATGTTTGCGGGCAGGCATCTTCAGAACCCCCAAAGATCTTGCTTGAACATCTGGCAATGTTCATTCCTCTCCGAACTGGACTTTTTCCCGGCCTGTCACGAGAATGCAGCAGGGGAGGGGTTTCCTTACTGGTTTTCAAAAAGGAACTGATGTTACTCAAATAAACCAGCGAAGCAGACAAAATAGCAAAAACGTTCTCATTTTGAACAGGAGTTGTTGAAAGAACGCGTTTTTCAAACTTCTGTTTCAGCTGAGTTACGTCATATTCCTACGTACGACAATGTTTCCCAGAACAGAGTACGTTTTGTCATGGCTGCAATAAAAATCCGTAATTGCTATGAACATATAATTTATACACTTTTAAATAAAGGATCTTAGTAACCACAGCTGGTATTGTGTTGTTTCACAGAGATTCTCAGACCTCATCAGGGAGGATGCGTTCATCATTTCTGAATAGTCACATTTTTCATTGCATTTAAATAAAAACAAAAACGTCCTTCATGTTTGTTTTCTAGTTTTTAAAGGCCGGACATTAATTTCAAAAGAATTGCTTCTCCTCTAGCCTTCTGGTGATGGTCTAGTTGGATCGTTACGTTTTATACTCTACACCACAAGGGGCAGCATTGACCTTTTCGTGAGAGTTTCCTGTAATCTAATTTATTACTATCCTGTCAGGGTCTCGGAGCTCTGAGGGTCATCCCAGGAAGTTAAAGGAAAGAGGTTTCCAGTAAAGAGACTTTTTTTTTACATCTGTGGTATGGCAGTACTCCATGGCAACCATCCACAACCCTGGCCGCTGCTAGACAGCACCGCTGCTCGGCAACCGTACCACCATCGGGGAGAGCAAACAAAGTAATCAGGACAGGCATCCCATGGTGCAATGTAACATGCTTTCCTCCACAGGCATCTAAAGATAAAACAGACTGCCAGGCCACTCCCTCTTCCGTCAGATACACAAAAACAAACTAGCTGTGCGCTTCCTCCCAGTTCTTGTAACAGACATCTTCCTGATCAGATGATGCCCAATGCTGGGTCACAGCCCATAGTGACCCGGCATCCTGGAGGTCCCTTCTCCCTTTTCTCCTTCTTCCTGTCTCTCTCTCTCTCTTTTGCTTGTTCCCTCGATGCCAGACTTCCAGTCCATGGTGTGGACCTGCCCATCCAGTGGTAGGGAAGTGGACAGTCCTCCACTGAAGAGCTGTTCCCAGCCCCCACCCTGTGCCCTATGCCCATTTACATCATATTATAATGATGAAGAACAACAGAAAAAAGCTTACAGGGGAAAATCCTGTAATTCCAAATAATCTAGAGGAGGATATTTTTCATTAACTGGTGCTCATGCAAAGTTTTAACTGAATTATGGAGGAAAGAAACATCTATTTGGGATTTAGCAATTGCAGCACAACTTACAAATAACAACCCCCCCCATCACACACCCTTGTACTTTATTCATGGGTACGGGTGCTTTACGTTTTCAAAAAATGCACATAAAATTGTACCCGACGTCTTTTTAAGTACATATTTGCCATTTAGGACCGTGCATGGTCCACTAGAAGCCTAATCATTTCCCCCCGCACCCGTACCCGTAAATTAGATATTTTTCACCCGGTCCATAATAACCTGGGGATTACCCGTCAGGTGCCCGAACCCATGTAGGACTCTTGGCTTTGGGGAATTGAACCAAAAACCTACAGGAATGAATTCTGGCCATGACTTCTGCGTTTTGGCCCAGCAGGGTGGGGTCCACTCCCAAAGAGGGGTGGGGGCACTGGTGACTCCACTTCCTGTGGGATGGTCCGACAAACAGCTGCATGCACTTTCCGTATACATGAGCAGTCCAAGTGAGACTTCTGTGTTCTAAATGTAAATCGCACACATGCTTTTTATCTGTCAAGTATACTATGCTAAATTATTACTTCCATTTCAGCTGAACCACACCCATCACCGCCGAACCGGAGGATTCTTCTGATCTTGCAGTCTAACTCGGAAGTAATCTTCTGTAAAATTCCTGTCTGGAAATAAAGCCTGATTCATTACGGTGCCACACCACATTACCGCTGTTCCCCGCTGTCCCCTCTCGCTGTTTGACCGCGAATGAACCTTCGTGAGTCGCAGCTCTCCCCAGAGGGCTGCGAGACGATGGCGTTACATAATCGCCGTTATTCGCTCGACTTGAGAGTAGAATAATTGAAATCTCTCTGCCCGTGAAAACAAAGGAGTTCTCTTATCTCCCTGACAGCCCCTAAATCAGGCTTGGGCATCACCCTGCATTTCCGCTTGAGGGACTCGCCCATATCACACGCGAACGTCTGGAAAAGCAGGGCAGCCGCCAAGTCAGGCGGAACTAAAAAGCGTCCGTGGAGTTAAAGTTACGACAACATTAAATCCTTGATTATGGGGCACGATTTGACGAACGGGACATTTAGCAAGGCTGACGGTCAGCAAACACGCTGGGTCCCCGATCTAAGGATTACTGAAATTCTCATAAACTTGGGTTTGGTAATAGTCGCGTTGCCGGATTATTGTGTCCTCCAGCGTTGCACCCTTTGGTTTTATAACACTATTGAAAGCTAAGTGAGCTTAATTAATACACACCTAATATAGATCTGAAGAGTCTGTGTTGAAAGACTCAATTGTAAACTTTAAATATTCGAAATGAAAAACCTCGTGACTGGTGTGCAAGGGTCTTTGGTGGTTTTAGGGTCATTGAGAGCTTGGAGCCCACACCAAGAATCATAAGGGAATTAATACCTGTGATAGTCCAATTCACTCAACTGCATGTGTTTGCATTTAGCCAGAGGACTTCTGCCTTCTGCATGACACAGGGAACATGCAAACTTCACAAGCAGCAGGGGTGGGATTCGAACCCTCAACGCCTAAATGTGAGCTGCCATGTCATCCTATGTGCTGTTCTTTTTTATTTTTTTTGTCGTTGCCAACAGTAACTAATCATGGGGCTTCACCGGAACAAACCAGTCATTTTGACTCACTGGTGTAGTGTTTGTTCCATTTTAAGTCTTCATTGTTTGACTAAGAACACTTTTTTAACAGCACAATAAATTACTTCATAGGATGTTTCAGATTTAGCTGTGGGCCCTGACAACTGAAATGAGTCCCCATTTCATGTAAATGTCACCCTGTGGGGACCGATAGGGCTGGGTAGGGGTTATGGTTTGTCATAGTTGGGATTAGAGTTATGCCTATAGAAATGAATGGAGCGTCCCCGCAAACATTTAGCTATCTAATATGTGTGTCTGACTGTGTGTGCAGCGTGAGCGAGCGTGTGGCTGGGTTACCGTGGCGACTGATCACTTGGTTCTCTGCCGACAGCTCTAGCTGACCCTGACAGCACTAATGGAGGTTTAATGTGAGTCAGTCGGTGGCGTTCAACAATCTGAGCACAGGAATTATTTAGTTTAGGACCTTCTTTCGGGTTTCTAGGACAAAAAATACACATAAATAAAAGCCAACGCTGCTAGAACGTGTGGAGCTCTTCAGGAACTACTAAAGGGCACGGTCACATGACACAGTACAAAGAGCGATGTGCTGAGTCGGACGAGAGGACCTCAGAGAACCAGAACCTTCAGCCTGGTCACTTCCTCAGAACTTTTTTCCTTTGAGTAAATGTGTAAAAGTCTGATTTCAATGTCTCAGTTTCATGAGGAAATGGAATGGATAACACATACATGTATATTCACACACCGTACTTGCCTCTATCAAATGCTTATACCAGTGGTCTGAACAACGGACCTTCAGGCAGATCCAGCCCACAAGACAATTCTATACGACCCGGTATGTTTTTATTTACAGATTTACAGATCTGGGTTGTTTTTTTTTTTTAAGTTCAGCATAAGAGCTTATTTAAATCTCCAGCCTGAGACCTGTACTGCAAACCTGAAGGCCTCAGGTTGGCTACGTAAACATCACTGTCCCTCATCACCCACTATGGCTATGCAGCCCGAACGGCGATGTCCCACAAAGCTCTACATATGATAAAAACATTTGGCATCACAGCAAACCAAAAGTCTACTAAATAGTGTGGGCCGAGTTTTGGTTTCAACATTATTAGGGACCAAGTCAGCACCCCCAACAACCACAATACTCTTACAATATTGGTATGGACATCTCCCTACTGTCCACACCAAAATTCACACCCTTACACATAAGTTATGCACCCATATCATTATACAGTAGCACTGCCCATTTACGAGCATGACCAATAACAGGAACAGCAAACAAATATCTAAGCATTATTAAAAAACGACAATTAACATCACATAATAGTTAGAGCACAGTGCTAAAAAAGTGTTCTAAAAACTTTTTGGTCAGTGATATCTGGAGTTGTAATAATCACTTTATCATGCTTCATTTCTTTGTACAGAAGGAACAATACATGCGTGGGGATCGAGTCTGGGACGTCTAGACCATCGCTTTAGGCCAATTATCTGAAGGGCAGAAGGCTTAGGTGATGCAATACTATTATTTATGAGAATCCTGGGTGTAAATGAATGGGGACAGACTGTTTTGACATTCTTTTTAGACGCACTCGTGGGTTTTGTGGGTTTGACCAAACGGACAGTCGTTACTTGTCCCGTCGCGATACCGAGGAGCTGTCATCGCGGCTGTAAGTATGCAGGACTTCTGTCAATGACACAAAATTAACCAAACGGGAAAGTACGGACGTTTAAAGGAATGCTTCACCGACTCGAGAGATCTTGCATTTCTTGGGAAGAAGTAGGTCAAGTGATCCGCCCCTGAAATTTCATTCTTCAGAAGTCAAGTAAGGCTTTCCCCTTTTCATTACTGTACGCCAATGCATAGAAGTAAACAGACAATTTGCCAATCGGATTAAGCGCGCAGTCGTGGTTTTAACCTCTTCAAAGAGTATAAAACACGAAGTGTAGGCTACAAGATATAATAATACAGTACTGTATAGTTGGGAGTGATGATATTATGCAAATATGTAAAGTTGCCGTAATGCCTTTATTCAGAAGGGGGCGGGCGAGCCGAAAATCTGCGACTCCAACTCAATTTCTGTAACAGCCTGATAGTTAGATTACCGACTGCGTGTCATCGGAATTTCGGTCTGGGTCTTGCTGGTAGTTAAGTTGCCTCTTCTGTCGGGTACCAATAGTTTCCCCATTTAAAGTGCCGTGGTTTCACTTGTTTTACCATCAGTTCAACGATGGCCTGATCTGCGGGCGCATGAATTTTCCTTCGGCGTAGCTGCGGCGGGTCGGATTGTCCGCGAAAACAAAAAGACCCGAGAGCGTGATTTTACAAAATGGATAGATCGCAAAAAGGGAATAAATCCGGAGGTGATTCCGAATCACAAGAGGAGGAGGAAGTCGACCCCAGAATTCAGGTAAAGGGGAAAAGTGACCAATGTAAAAATGAAAGATGAAATCCTGAATGTACTGCGCGTTAATTTTTAGCAAAGCATTTTTTTAATTTTACCTTGGAAAACGGCGTGAAATAGACCCGTTTTTCGCAGTCTGTTTTCTTAAAGTTGAGCATTTATAGCCTATACGCGTGACAACGCGAAAGTTGGAGGCGAAGGTTGCCTATGCCAGCTGGCTGGGGCTGCGTGCCCGGCAGGGAACCGGTCGATCTGCTATATCACATATCTGTCGGTCATTTTGCACAAGTGTCATACAAGAATATCTTTTTAACTGAATAACACAAAAAGTAATCCTCCGGTCACACATCCCTCCATCAACCTCACCCCTTTTCATGGTTTTATTGATTAATAATTACTAGTTATATATCCCGTTTTAAGGAGCATCTCTTAATGCGTTACGGATATAAAACTTACTCTTCCTATCGGTTTTAATTGCTCACGCTGCGCGCAGGCGTATTGCTAATCGGCAGCGCATTTTGACGGCTCTGGGTGTGGCTCTCATTTTACCTCAAACTTTGGACTAATGTGCTCTGTAACAAGCCCCAGCTGTGACTCTGTACCCGTATGTAACATTCTCCTCCTCCTTCTCCCCATCCCCCACTTCCACATTTTAGGGGGAGCTAGAGAAATTAAATCAGTCCACGGATGAAATCAACAGATGGGAAACTGAACTTGAGGTAGGCGCGCCTCTTGTCATGGGTGTAATTTTTCCTATAGCAGAGCACTTTTTAATGGTCAAGTGACATCATTGCACTAATCGAGAAGGTCGATGTCACCGGTTTCACTGTCCATAAACATTCTAAAAAATGTTTTTGACACTTCTTGGAAGTGCTGACGGCATCTGAGTTTTATGTATGTGAGATACATTTGTTAGAGGTGGACCGTAGTGGTCCATGAGTCGCGTGCTTTATTTCTGCACCTTACCCAGCATGCCTCAGGATGCATCAGTTGGAATGACATTCATCAGCGATGTCAGTTCTGCGACCTATGTCAAATGACTTGACGCTCATCCTGCAAGAGCACTTTGTGTGGATTATATATTTAAACTTACCTGGCAAATATTTTTTTTTTCCAGGCAATCTTTACAGTGCTATGATTTCATTTTTAACCAGTAATTGGATGTTACCAGAATAAAAATGTTTGGACCAGATGTGAGTAATCACATGTTGCTTCTGCAAACCCTGGATTCTGCCTGTGTCAACATAACATGGTCAGATAGCAGCATGGGTTAATCTAACCAGCAAGGCAGGACACACGTCACAAGCATCAAGTTTATGTCACCAAACTAAGGAGATTGAAACAGTTTGTGCGTTGTGCGTAACTTTTATGTGGGACTACAATTTGAAATTCATGAGTCCATATTTTAAAAGGTTTTGGAATTTCCGGCCAAGATATAAAAAAAATCTCCCACTTAATAAAACACTTGCACACCCACAGAATGGTTTTCTGTGGTGAATTATGAAGCCATGGATGACCTTTCTTAGGCCCTCATCTTCGGATTTCTATGCAAGATATAAGCCCCCACTTGTATTGCTGTGAGCTAGGAGGCAGTCGCTGTGCCGTGGCACGTTGAGCACCGTTCTGCAGGAGCTGCTTCTTGGAGACCTGGCCTGTTCTGGGGCCATATGCTGAGCTGTAGCCTGCAGCGCTGCCAACTGTAGCCCACAGAGCAGATCTCCACCAATACCGCAGGAGGTACAAGGGAAGGTCAGAATTACTATCCCACGTAAAAAGAAGAAATAGTGCCACTTAATGAGCTCTGTTGGCCAGAGAGGTTGTGGCCCTGTCATGAGGAGGTGATCCAGCTGGATTTAATCATTATAGGATTTTGGGGTGTATGAAGGGCAGCTAGGCGGTGGGCGAGGTGCCGGAATGGGCTGGCAGTGAGTGGAAGTTAATATTACAAGAATGGGTGGCTTTTTGGACCGTAGTTTAATTCCCATACCGTCAGTTCATTCCCTATTCTGCATTGCAGCTGTTTATTGAAGAGCTGTTCTTGGGTATACAGATGTGCGTCACACAGCGGCGTGTGACGCTCTTCACGAGCACAGCTGGCTTCGAAGCGCAGCAGTTAGCCTGCCAGTAAGGCCTTGTTTATTGCTAGTGCTTGTAACTGGCAATCTGCTCCCATGGAGTTTGGTTTCTTCACTGGAAAAAAAAGAGCCAGCTGGGTCTAACTGGGAGAATTTCTCAGTCTGTAGGTCATGGGAGTGGCAGTGCCGTGTGGTTTGTTTAGCTGTGGCTCATTTGCAGTGACTTTCGCTTAGGATTGATTTAGCCTGGAGGCCATTTCTTGCCGGCTCGGCTGCAGGCCAGACCAAAACTCTTGCTCCTCACACCTTTACTTACCTTTCAAATTTCCATGGGGAGAATATGAACATCACAAATACAATGGTGACCTTTTCACCTTTTCATCAACTTTTTTGTGTCTTTTTGAGTTTGGATTATAACAACGATTAGGGGTGCGCGATATGACAATATGTATCGTTTCATATCTTTTAGTTCGTGGTGTCGCAAAATACACTGGATGCAGCAACATTTCTTCATCGTTTGGATGACAGTTTGCAGTGTTACACGCCACCACATGGGACGTGACACTTGTATGGAAATTTTTATTGGACTTCATTATTTGTAACCCGCAGAAGACAATCCACAAATATATACCATGATCCACAAATATATACCATGATCCACAAATATATGTTTTTTAGTTTGTGTTGTGTAAAATCATATTAATAATTGCACTGTGTCTATTCACCGCCAGTGACTTTAAGCAAGACAGCTGGGCTATTGGACGAGTGTACACATACAAACAAATATAATACCTGAAAAACATGAAATATATTACAACATTGAAAGTTGTTACAGCCAGAAAACTGCATATAAAGCTAACTCTTTGAACCCTCTTTCTGGAATATAGATCTGCATATCCCCACATACATCATCAAGCCAGAAAACTGCATATAAAGCTAACTCTATGAACCCTCTTTCTGGAATATAGATCTGCATATCCCCGCATACATCGTCAAGCCAGAATACTGCAGAACTATTGCAAGGGAACCTAAAATTATTTCAGGAAGTATTTTCTCACCCTGACCTCATAGAGGCTCCTTATACCGCAGCTGATCTGTAGAAAAAAAAATCACAAATACCTCACTATCCATAAATATGTATTTTTAAATTTGTGTTGTGTAAAATCACATCCACAAAAATACAGAGCGATTTGTAGATGTGAGTAAGGTTTTGCACATTTGTGGATCACTTCCCATCTATTTGTGGATCGCTCCTTTTTATTTACGGATTTTTGTCCAATTCCTACCCCTGTTGATCCGTAGAAGAAATCCATAAATATGAGGTGCAGTCACAATATATATCTGGATATGAGATTTTGGTTTTGGTCATATTGCACAGCCCTAATAACAATTTTAAAGTAATCCAAATTGCATGAATCAAGATCTGAATACCCATATTTTTTTTAACATCAAATTTCAGTTTATTTTATAACGGTATGCTGAGAAAAAAAACATTTCGAATTTTCTCTGAGACAGATATGAATATCTAGAACTTTCCTCAGTTTTGAACATTCTGGAAGTGTCAAGAAGTATTGAGAAGATGAACTTTATTTTATTTATTTTATGTATTGTGGCATACATACACCGACTTCCGAATGCCCCAGCGGCTGTGCATGATTTCATCGATCAAACGTTACAGTTCTTATTTGTGATTTTATTCTTGTGATTAATAATGACAGATAGACATTGTGATGAAGCTGACTGAAGACCTGCTTGTGATTAATTTCACTCCTCTGGGTCTCTGGCCTTTAGGCAGCTGGAGCTCTGGAAAAAATTGAGACCACTCTAAAAAAAAATCTGGATTTTTAAATTCTGGTGTAACCCTGGTTCTGCTGGCAGAAGGCTACGCTGTGTGGTAAACAAGAATAAGGTGAAGCAGGAGACACTGGGAACGACCAAAAACCAGCCAGGTAAAGGGCGGAAGTGACTTTCTAATGCCAGAGAAGACCGTTAACTTATCTGACAGTTTCTCATGAATCGGTGGATGACATCAAGTGACCTTCAAAAGGAATGGGAAACATTAAGTGCAGGTGTGAAGTGCACTGCTAGGACAGTTCATAACAGGCTCCTAGAAGCAGGACTGAAGTCCCATAAAGCAGGGAAGAAGCCCTTCACTAATGAGAAGCAGGGAAGAACCAGGCTGGAGTTTGCAAAATATGTTTTATTCACAGATGCACAACCATAAATTGAGAGACTAGTGAACAACAAAAAACTGCGCTGTGGTATCTTAATTTTTTCCAGGGCTTTATGGCAGAGACTCGCACTGTGAGTCTCCCTTCCTGAAACTCGAGTAAACACAACTCCCTTTTAATAAATCCATCAACAGTCATCTTAGGGCAGGTACTAAGGTCATAAGGCGGTGATTCACTGTAAAACAGGTCTCTAAATAGAAGCTGGACCTTCAAGGAGACTCCGAGGTTCGGCTGATCAGTAGATCTTTACCTCACTGCATTTCGTTGCCAGTGAGAATATGCTCCTTATTAACACCGGAACGGGGCAAGATGTCAGACTCCTGGGGTTGTGTAGGAAGTAGGAATTCCCCGTCTGTTTGTTCCTGTTTTCTTTGGCCGCTGCACGCTTGTATAGCAGGATATCGGTCTCGCTGCTCCTGGAGGAGTTCTGTAGCCTAATGGGCTGTTGCAGAATGAACAGGTGAGAGAGGCAAGGCTCTAAATTTAGCAGTGAGAACTTGGCAGACAGAGGGGCTTTCCAGTGGTCCCTGCAGAACTCCTAGTGCGGTTCCTAATGACGGGCCGACCCAGGTGCTCACCCAGACCCAGGTCCAGCTTTTTGCTTAACACATCTGCTTGTCCAGTGCATGGTTCTAAGGGTTTTTCCAACATTCTCTGGCCCTATTTTGATTGCACCTAGTGCTTCCTTGAAGACCTGCAGGTACTGTTGGATAGGGTGTTGACTTTTGGAGGGAAAAACGGTGCAGCATTCAGCAATGGTGGGGATGTGGTGTTGACGAGATGGAGTCTGCCCCAAGGAGCTTCCACGCTATGTGATTGTCACTATTTTGCCCGTAGGAGGGAAGGCAGAAGTTCCGCGCGGTGCTTGTGGAGGCCACCTTGAAGCTGGATGGCCAGGTGAATAAGATCGGGAAGGCGGTGGAGGAGTCGAAGCCGTACTGGGAAGCTCGACGGGCCGCCCGGCAGGTGAGGGAGTGCGAGCTGGGCCGTCGCTTTGGCCTTTTGGGTGGGTGTGTTTCCATAACAACAGTCTAGCCTGTTACCCGAATGTGAGTCATCAATGTGCTGCGTGATAAGCTAAACCAGCCTACTTAAAGGCTTTAGCAGCAGGGCATTTAATACCGATCCTGTTTCTGTGTCCATAACCATGCTACGGTCTCTGGTCCTCCTCCAAACCAAAGACCAGATACATCAAAATGTGCCTTGAGGGTGACTCAGATGTTTCGTTATTCTTCATGCTGCATCCAGGTTGAGAATTTTTACTTGCAGAAATTTTTGGGGCTTCCCTAGCTATGACTGGAAAAATATGAAAATATTGCTAAATGTCCAGCAGTAGTTCCAGCCTTCCTCATTCACCCACTATAGATTATCTTAGAGCAGTAATCCATTTCAGTCACATCTTCTTGTAAATTAAGAGAATAACTCAGAAATAGCTTCAAAAGGTTCCTTCAGCTCATGTGGGTAATAGATGGTTCACTTTCATTTTTGGTTTCTATCTTGAACTGGTCGGTGTGGTTGTGCACCATCACAGGTCTTATGAGATGTATATTCATTATGCTTCTGCAGTTCTAAGTTTCGTTTAAGAGTGGCAAAGGAACGTGTAAACTCTAAGGTAGAGCTGTCTGTTAACACATAAGCTTGACCCTGAACCCTGTCTCACATGCGTGGGCACATGTACACATGGCTAATAATAGAATCCTTCATTCTTTTTATAACCTGCACGAGGCATAGCAAACGCGATTTGGCTGATATGGATTCTAGAGATGGCATGATGCCTCTTTTTCATGCCTGATACGGATTCCGATTATTGCCGATATTAATCCGATACAGTCTCTCTCTCTATTTTTAACAACAAAACAGAAAATAATGTCTGGATGCATTTTGCATACATTAACACTCAAATATAAAAAGCACAATTCTAAAACTGGGAAACAGATACTGTATTATACTCATAATAGCGCCCAAAACGCAGCTTCTTTTTCTTTAAACTTGTAGCAGCATCGTTTAATCGGGTTCGTGGCGGCACCTTGCGAAATGCTTGTATTGCACGTTACATTCAACGGTCTCGCCTTTTCCTTCTTCTGAACTCCGCGCTGCTGACATGCCGACGGGTCTCACGTGCAACAGAGGCCAAGAGGGTCTAGCTGCAGACGCCTGTAGAGTGGAGCTCCAAAGGAAATACGTCACCTCCACAGGAAACACGTGATCTTTAAGGACGTAAAGTGGAGCTCGGGTTAGGGTTAAGGTTAAGGTTAGGTTAAGGTTTATTCGCTGTAACACAGAGTTGAGTTCACGTGTTTCCTGTGGAGCTCCACTCTACAGGCGTCTGCAGCTGGACCCCTCTCACAGAGGCTCGTGACGCCGCTATTTACGGCACGTCACAAGTTTTGTCAAGCATTTACGTGATTTTTAATGGAACGGATTACATTATTTTTTTTTATTCCTCCTCGATATACAATCCAGTAATTTAGGTCAGGACTGGACCGATACCAGTACCAAATATCGGCTCAGTGGATCCCTAATGGATTCCATGCCTAAGCATTTGATACAGTGTATCATGCAATTTTTGTATGACTTTTTATTGTGGAATTCAGTAAAATTCTGACATTTTTAAACATGGCTTAAGTGTACAAATACTTTACCATGCTTAAAAATGTTAAAACTACTGAAATGCATAACAAAATGTAAAAAAAAAATGCATTTATGTTGAAGGATAGGTACCTTAAGCAGACTTCTCATGCAAAACATTTAACAAAAAGATGGTAGGTTGTAAGCTATAGAACAATAGACAAAATTGAGAGTATTTAGACTCTTAAATCTATTCTGATTCCAGGCTTAGTGGAACATGTTCAGGGATAATATAAATGTCATCTGTGACGACAACAATAGGGTGTTTTAACTCGTACACCAGCTATAGATTATCTTGGAGCAGTTCATTGAAAGTAATTGTGAAAATAGTTTATAAGAGTGAAGTTATAGTGAAGAATGATCTGACATCATTTGTCTGCACCAGAGCTGTTCCCAGTCACCTTAGGTGAGCCGCTGTATGTGAGGAATCTGACAGACTGGGAAAGGTTGTTTTGTGATGGGAGGGTTGATCCCATTAAAACTCAGCTCTGTTCTTTATTGGATTACATTTTTTCCCAGCAGGTTATACTCTAAACTGCTGGATACTTTTATTTAAAAAATTTCTACAGCGCCACTTACTGGCCTGGATGACACAGCCGTTTATGAACCCAATCTCCTCATTCCTGTTTGGATAAACTCTGGAGCTCCGCTGTGTGTTTATGTCCAGGGCAGATGTAGGAACACAGGGGCCCCTCCCTGACTATGTAACACCCTCAGCTCTAATCTGACAGACATTTAAACCAAATTACTCCATGTGCTAGGACCTCATTAGCTCCTGAGAGCTGAATGAGTCACTCTTGGAAGTTTGATGCAGAAAGAGGAAGCCAGATGCAGTGTTTTTTGCAGATGCAGCCAAGTTGTAAATGCTGTTTGGGGTTTTCAGACAAAGCGAGTCTTGACAGACTTACTATTCAGTAGACATATCCACATGGAGCCGTGCATCCTGTGAAGTAGCACTGGCTAATCATTTTCAGGTTTTACATGCCAGTCTTCTGCACGGGGGGGTCATAAAGAGACACGGCTAGCATGCAACCCCTGCAGTTTTGCAGGACAGAGTCCAGCTCATTCTGAAACCGGCTTCCCTGTTGTTGCAGAGTTTAACCTTTGCATGGGTTACCAAGGTTACGTCGACAGCATCCCGCTGTCCTCTCTGGTGGAGATTAATGGGGGCCCTATTTAATTTTTGAATTAACAATAAAACAAATGGAAGTTATAAAGGTCACATGATGGTACTGCTAACCGGGGACACAGCCAGGAAGGGGGGGGGGGGGAGTGTACTGACTTCCTGTCCCCATGGGCTCTGTGAGTGTCTGAGGGGAAGTGGGCATGGATCGTGGCTCAGGAAGAGGTTGGGGCTCCCTGCCCCCAGGGTGATGACTGCACTTCCCCTCTTAAAGCCTCAGAGTCTGTCCCCGTTAAGATGTTGTTTCCCAGCTGGGTCTGATCCCACCTCACTGGTGGGTCAAGACCCAGGCTGGCCTGATCAGGCTCTTAACCCTTCATTTTAATTGTCTTAGAAATCAAAGGAGATTCCAGTAGGTTAGACTGTAGACAGACAGGTTATCTTTAGTTAGCACTTTGTCCTGACAACCTCTAATCGCTGGTTGCTCTTCTTCTCTAACTCTAACAGTTATTTAATTCCCCCTGTTTCCCAACAGAATTTGTGCATTTTACCAGGGGATCAACGGTCAAGCAGAAAAGCATGCAGTGGAACACTTTTATCTTACCAGTTAGTAAAATTTAATTGGTTGGATCTGGCTCCGCGTTCCAGGAATAATTCACACAAGCGCAGCAGGGCATGGGGTCACTGTAAATGTAATTGGATTATGATGGCGAATGGGAAATATACTGCTTTTTGTCATGCACGTAAGCATGACAGCGTTGTGTTTCGCCTGCTGCTGCTGGGAAATGATTTGCCATGAATGGGCATAAAGTGATGGGGGTGGGGTGGAATGCCAGAGCGTTGGTTGGTCGGGTTAGCGAGGTCCTGAGGCTTAAAGAAACCCCACACAACTCAACCCAATCACCAGCCATTAAGGGTCATGTGACGTGAATAAGGACCAATCTGTTAGCGGGAACAGGGGTCAGCTGACCTGAACTGGGCTGAGAGTGATGGGAAGGGGCTTTGCGTAGAACAACACCGGAGCAGGTTCGTCCATCCAGTCCTTGGCTCATGTCAGTCCTCCTCTGCCCCCCCCCCCACGTTACAGAATTCCATCTTTTTGTGCTTCTGTTGGGTTTATATCTCTTTATATAGTTGGGGTGCCCACTCCCAGTTCTGTGGACCGGCGCAGGTCCATAGCCAGGCCGTGGAGGTCTGCGGGCTTTGTGGGGGGATTAAGGGATTTCCCAAAACAAACTATGTGTATATATATATTTTTTTTATTACCCCTCACGTTTGCACTGCCAATTTGCATCTGAAAATATAGAAACAAATTAACAAAATCGCCGATCCACCTGGTAGGACTGCCCACCCACCCAACCCCCCCAGGCCGTGTGACTGGTCCGTGAAATCATTGTACGGCGTAAAACAGACCATAGTCATTAAAAAGTTTTGAAACCCCTGTTTTAAATAATCTCTGCCAAGCCCGCTGTATCTGGGAGGCAGCTGGGGATGTTGTCCTGGGCTTGGGGGGTGGTTAAGATAGAGCCCAAGTTGGAGATGTTGCATGTCAGAGGGGAATTATGCATGGCGAGCCTGACCCTCACTCTCCGTGTCTCATGTTACGGGTGTTGATATCAGCGACATGGGGGACAGTGTCCATGAGTGTTGGACTGAATCTCACCTCCGACTCGGCGCCATGGGATACCTTTCAGTAGAGTCAGCCTCTTGCAGAGACGGGTTTCTTCGTTATGTTCTCCACCCGGGTCGACAGTGAAGATGAGCGATTAGAGCTCCACCCACCGGGAATGGTTTCCTTCCTTTTTGGATCGGATCTGACAGTTGTGTAGAATTTAACTCTGCAGAGGGATTATGGGTAAACAGCTACAGTCTTACCACTTACATTTTGTTGCTTAGCTGCTGTTTTTAAGCAAGGAGGATTATTATTATTATTATTATTATTTTTATTTTATTTTTTTATTATGTGCCCATGATCTGTGAGCATAAAACCTCTCCTGCCTTGGGCTTCTTGGCATGAACTGCAGGCTCACATCCTTCTACTGGTTAACTGCTTATTGAAGATGGATGGTTAATAGTTATGCATTCAGGATTTACAGTTCATTACTTATTGTGATTTCTTCTTTGGCTAGGCAAGCCTCGAACCCTCACCCTTCAGGGCCACATTCTTATCCGCTGTGCTCCCTACACATGGCACTAATGTGGCTGCGCTGAGGTCTGCTCTGGGCCTTGTGACTGTATCAATTATCATAATCAAATTTTCGCTGTAACAGAGCGTCTACTGTTTTGTTGAGGGCTAACTTTGTCGGTGGGGGCCTCAACAAGCCTCTTTCAGCTTGTCCTGGGGGAGGGGGATGGGGTGCCAAGCATTATCTAGGCCTCCTATTAAAGATGCATCTTCACAGAGATGCTGTGTCTTACAGGCAGTAGGCTGGACGTCGTCAGCGGGGGGGGCAGGCGGTTAGAGACGCTCTCATGCCCCCTCATGCTCGGCTGTCGATCTGTGACGCACCGTCATGTCGGGGTGGTGGGGGAGGGGGGGGGTGTGGATTTTGGAGCAGACCCTGAGTATGAGCTTGAGTTTCAGTATCTCAGTATAACAACGTTTATCTGTCTTTTTTTTGTGATGCTCCATAATACAGTTAGTACTGCATTATGTATATAGCAGATGCTTTGATCCAAAGTGAGACATTTTTTGTGAAATGAGAAGCGGTTGGTGGTCCGAGGGCCTCGCCTGAAATCACTCTCTGACAGGAGGTTTGGCTTGGGAAGCCGCCGGGCCGCATGGCCCCCCTCCAGGCAGCCTGGATTAGCTTAGTAGCTTTTGTCCGCAGGGTGTTGCTGCTGGATCCGGCCTCCTGGGGCTCTTAACGGCAGCCATTACCATGGCCCGAGTTTCCCATTTTTATTTCTGTGTATTACTCACACGGACAGACTGACGTAAAAGATGGAAAGAGGTACTGTAACCTGACAAAGAACCAAGACCACAAAAGGATCGTCATTTAATCACCCGCACCTTCCCCAACGTCACAGGAACGCTCCTTAACAGGCGCTGTGTGGACGCCTAGCATTGTCTTAGCAGGACCCCGTGTTACACGCCTCGGCCTCAAGTGGGATTGGCAGGAAGAGGTCAGGTGGGGAGAGAGAGCGAATCAGAGCGCACAGTCTGTCAATGACACACTATCATCCAACCCAGGCCCAGCTGGAAGCCCAACGGGCGACACAGGACTACCAGGGGGCCATTGAGGTGCTACGGGCGGCCAAGGAGACCATCGCGCTGGCGGAGCAGAGGCTGCTGGAGGAGGACAGCCGGCAGTTTGACTCCGCCTGGCAGGAGATGCTCAACCACGCCACCCAGAGGGTGAGAGGGCATATGCTTGGCAAATTAAAAAAAGAAACCACTGTGAAACGGGGTACTGTACTCAGAAACCTGTTATACATATTGATATTCGTGTGGTATCAGTGTATTAAATGATTTTAAACTGGTACGTATTTCTGTAAAATACAAATAATGTATAAAAATGCAACAATCCATCAAAAATAGTTTACTTGACGGATGAAAGTTCACTTAGTCTGGGTCCCGATTGGTCATTGCAGGTGATGGAGGCGGAGCAGACAAAGACCCGTAGCGAGAAGGTTCACAAGGAGACGGCGGCCAAGTACAACGCCGCCATCGGCCACATGAAGGGGCTGGAGAAGAGGCTGAAACGCACCATCAGCAAGTCCAAGTGAGCTCATCATAACCCTAAACCTAACCCTAACCCTAATCCTAACCGCTGACTGTGCCTCTCCTAGACACTGACCTTGCGCACTGAGCCGTGAGCATCTCGTAGTCTAGTCCCCAAGTGTCATGAGGTCCTCGGTCACCATGGTGAAATAGCTAGTTTGCTGATGTCTATCCCTCTCTGTCTTCCTTGCTCCAGGCCATACTTTGAACTGAAAGCTAAATACTACCTCCAGCTTGAGGTAAGTGGTTGAGCGCTCCCTTTGATCTCTGAGGTCCTAAGACTCTGTCAGGAATGTTTCATCCATCCATCCTTCCTTATCTAGCTTACCCTAGTCAGACCCCAGGGGAGGAACGTTTTTTGTCACATGAAATACAGAGAAAATGTGTCCTCTGGCCAAGAACGCAAGTCAGGATGGTTTCCAAGTCACGCCATTCAAAGGCATCGTTCTGTCTGTTGTCATTCTGTGCAGAAGTTTCAGACCCTCGGGAGGTTCACCTTCCTGGTCTGGGATCATCTGATCAGTCATAGAACGAGTCTAAAATAAAGCAGGAAAAGAGCAGTGAAGAGGTCTCACTTTGGATCCAACTCTCCAGACCTTTGATCTCAAGTGTCTGTCTCCATAGCAACTAAAAACGAAGGTGGACGAACGGCAGGCCAAGCTCAACCTGGCTAAGGGAGAGTACAGGGCGGCACTGCGTAACCTGGAGATGATCTCCGACGAGATCCACGCCCGCCGGCGCTCCATGGTCACGGAGTGCCGAGGCTGTGGGGTGGGCGCCGAGGGTGATGGCGGCTGCGGTGACGGCGACGACGACATCGCCAACTTCAGGATGGAGTTGGATGGCATCTCCAGTGAGTACAGCACTGGGACTTCAGACCAACAAAGAATGACGGTCCTTACCGTCAATCTGTGTGCCGGAAGCCATCATGAGATGGTTATGGGAGTTGAGCAGAGGTTAGGGTTAGCAATAAAGGCAGGATGCTTATACCAGCTGGGACCAGTGAGACTTTTTTATGGTGACCACAGAGAAAGGGAGCTTGGGGACAGTAGGAAAAGGAAGGATGAACTTCGGCTGAAGACCTATGATTGCACTTTGTGTCCATGAGGTCGCACTTCCACTGCTATGCATTTTGAAGAAATCCTAAACAATAGAAGTTGTTTGGCCCCTGGCTGGGGGCCGGCGTAGGATATGATATGCTTCTGGGTGGTCGGGGAGCAGCAGATGGCCCCAGAATCTGTCAGCGGCTTAGAAACTCTCAGGGTGTCTCGCAAATTAGCCTCGGCTTCTTGCCGTGTGAGTGCCCTACCTGATTGGAGCATTTGTCACAAGCCAGTCGCTTTGACAGTTCCTGTCTGCATTAGACCTCCCAAACCATCAAGCTGTACCTGTCAGAACAGAAAGTCCAGCGAGTTCAGCTGTCCTGCTCTCTTTGTGAGCTGTTGGCTGTATTGGTAAACATTGTGACCCTAGCCTGGTCTCATGTGTCCTGGGTTCCGTGCTGGAATGGGCACGAAGGCCTCCTCCTTTGGCCACCATGCTTCAGCAGATTCCTCGGTCCACTCGGGTTCTCCAGTGGCTCTGGGTCGCTCTCTGGTTTTGCTCAGCTGAACTGTGACACTGGCATATGTAACAGTGGACTCCCACAGTCTGAAATCTGCTCCTGGTTCTCACTGATTTTGGAGGGGGGATGTCTGTCCAGAGAAGTGTCAGCCAAAAACAATGCCAATCATCGAAAGCAAGATAAGCCTCTAGACCCATGTTCCTCCCACATTAACGAAACAGTGATCGCTGAATTGGTCCAAATGACCTCAGTGGCGCCCCCTGTTGGATGTTTATCAGACAATTATGAGTCACTTCGATAATATTACATTCCCCTACATGGTGGTGTTCTGTTTTTATTTATAACTTTCGATGAAATGATCAATCGGGTGCCCAAAGTCTGTTAATGTTCATATGCATAGGTGATTCTGGGGACTGGGGCCCTCCAATTGACCCTCCCCAGGCATGGGAAAATGTAATACCTTTATTCTATTGTGAAGTGTAAATGAATAATATCAGCAAAGATAATTTACTAAACACAATTCCTTTATTTTCACCTTACGGTGAAAAACAGAATACACAAATAAAGCAGATTTGTCGTTGCGAAGAGGTTAGTACCACCTCGGGGCCCCCCTCCCAGCTCGGGGCCCCCCTCCCACCTCGGGGCCCCAGGCCATTTCCTGCCCTGGCTGTCCTGTCACTGCACCTCTGTTCATATCACGCTTCTCCATCTCCGTGGACGTCGGAATGAAAGTGACCCCGAGGACTTCTGTGTTTTTACAGTGACATCCATCACCTTTGAGGACGACAGTGGCAGTGACGGCGTGTCCAGCCCAAACACGGACACCCCGCTGGGCAGCTCCTCCCCTTCACCATCCTCCTCGTCCTCGTCCTCCCACCCAAGCACTCTGGATCTCCCTGGGGGTGTCACTCAACCGGCCCTAGGCCCGCGGGGGCAGTGCAGTGGGGCATCTTCGCCAGAGTGCGACCCGGAACCAGGTGTGTGTTTGTGCAAATCCTGAAGAAAATAATCGCCTTTCTTCTCTTCTTTCCTACAAGTTGCCCACAAACATCACCATATCTAATTTCATTTTTTTTAATTTTAGTTCCATTTTTGAAAAATCAGATTTTAATACTTTTTTCAGTTTCGCTTTCGGTTTAGGTTCACTTTAGTTTTATGACTTTTTGATATTTGATGCGCATCACCCCATCGACCCCTTACATCCCCACAGGGCCAGTCCTAGAAACGTAACATATTTATATAATAAAACAAATCACTATGAATACTGTAATGGTATATCTTTTTGACCAGGTGGTTTGATGTCATAACGTGTTGAGGGCGCCCTACATCATGTTGCTGTTCTGTGTCTGCACTGTAGAGGGCGCCCTACATCATATTGCATGTCGCCTATAGGATTGACCGGCCCTGCATCCACGACTCACTTGCTCTTATTTGAGCTTGTATCATTATGAGGGGGGCAGCGTGTGGCTCAGTGGGCTAAGCCATGTGCCTGTAATCAGAAAGTCGCCGGTTCAAGCCCAGCCTCAGCACATCTGCAGGTCCTGGGTGCCGCTTGCTCTACAAAAGGCTCTACTGGGCTCTACAAAAGAGCAAGTTGAGGGAGGCATAAAAAGAATTTCCCCATGGGGATTAATAAAGTGTAAATTAAAAAAATTAATTAAATTAAAAATTAATCATACTCAAAATGGTTGCACACTGTGCTTTCACATTTGCACTTGGTTTGCTGCAAGTCCACATTTAATCTTAACGAAACACGGTTTAATCTTGAGAAGCCATATGTTTTGTCAGTTTGATGCGCTTATCATACAGTACATTGAACGTTTATTTGGATTTAACACTCAAAAAGAAGTAAAAAAAAAAAAAAAAGAAACCTCAAAGTTTTGTTCTCTTAGTGTGTAATTCTCTGTATATCTGGGCGTCTCCACAGAGAGCCAGCTGGAGCAGACAGAGGAAGCCAGTAGCAGAACTGAGCATCCGTGTCTGGAGAGTCAGATGGAGAACCTCTCTGTGCAGCACGATGATAATGCCGAGCCGGACCTCTTCTCCACAGCCCAACACATGGTTCCCACTGCCCTACTGGTCGACGGGATGTGAGGGACGGGCTTTAAGTGCCCTGCCTTCCTTTAGCCTTCACTGGGAGCACTGGGAAGAAGGCGACACCGGGAACTAGGTTGAAGGAGATTCTGTCCAGATCCTGGGGGTGATGTCAGGGACTCCTGCCCCCAGCTAGCAAGGCCAGGAGCCAGTGGGAAGCTGCTGGTTGTGTTTTGAAGCCCCCCCCCATTGTCAGAAACCTTGGTTAAGTCCTTAAGCCAACATGAACCCCCCCCCCCCCCTTTCTTTTCCGCAGCACAGGCAAACTCAACCAAGCAGAACCAGGTGCCCCCCCCTCAATCCTAGGTACCACAAGAGCCAAGTGATGTATAGATGGCCCATCCTGTGCTGCAACATCCAGACAGTGATAGTAACAGGCACACCTGTGTGGGGATAACGTGGCGACTCAGAGTGTAATAACGTGGTGACTCAGAGTGTAACACCTATGATGGACTGGCATCCCAAGGTGTCCCCCAGCCCTGTACTCTGTGCTGCCTGGAATAGACCCCGTGTGATTGGATGGATGGATGGATGGATTGCTATATGGCCTTTAAGAGTAGACACTAATTATAATCTTGTAGTATGTGCAACAACATGAGCTTAAAGCAGTTTCAATGTCACCTCAGTGTTAGAAATGTGAGACAGACCAGTGGCTTGCGTCTGTTCTTCATGTTTTCCTTTCTGAATGACTTGAAAGGACACCTCCGCAGTGTTCAACTCCGAGAAATGAAGAACTAAGAAGACTGTGAGTAAAAGGCATGGCCTGTAGGGTATTTTGGTACACGGACAATAAAACCATAAGAAGGAAGTCTTCTGCACCTCAGTGGATTCACCTTAATGTTTAAAGGTGATGAGGCGGCTCTGTAATGGCAAACTGGCATTACAGAGAGACCTTTGAAGGCCTTTAGACGGAGGACAGCCCATCCAGCATCAAAGGGCAGTGGGATGGGGCCCTCTGAGGGTATTGCCGTTACATGGTCTCAGAGCCAGTCTGTTATTCCATCCTAGGGTATGTGCAAGTTGGAGATAAGCCCACATGACCCACCAGGCCCTGGATGAGTGCCTCGTTTCAACAGATACTCTTGGCAGGAGAAAACGGGCAATGCATATTCAGCTGACTAGCAGAACACAAATACAAGGGGTAAAACTGTTGTATTACAACTGATTATTTGCCATTTTTTGTAGACTGTGATGTTATTGAAAGATTTCGGTAGAAGAATCCACTTCAGTCTCTCCACCTCTCTCTCTGTATAATACTGTATACTATATAAATATGTATTTACCTATTCTGCTGTTTTCTTTGTAACCTGAAGTCAACATGGGTCATGCCCATGTCTGCTTTGCCATGGCTAATGAGTATTGTTCTTCTTTTCGTAATAATAAACCAGCCTTCTCTGTAAGGCTGCTGGTTCTTCTTTACTCTTCATTGGAAAACCTTTTTTAATGGTATTATAGAGCTTGAATAGCACCGTCCAGAAGGTTCTCAAGGTGAACAGTCAAAGAGCACTCTGGTGGCATCTGGTTTGGCTTGGTGATAATGTGGAGAGACAAAGAACGCTTTTCCACTGCACCAAGTATGGTACTTTTGGGATGGTACTTCTGGTTCTTCCCCTTTTCCATTGACTTCTAGTCAAGTACCAGTACCAGTACCGAAATCCCAAACCCACTGTGGTACTTCGGTACTTTAAACTGATTTTTAAACAAATTATATAATCTATAAACGGAATAATAATTAAAATTGCAAAGCTAGCTAAGGTTTTAGCAAAACTTAAACTCCCTGTGCTATAATGTCTGTATAGAGAACTGAAAGAAAAAGCCTGATCTTAATCCAGCTATCGATGTAAGAATTGCTTGCGCACAACAATGGGATGTGGATATTAATATCGCACGTCGTCCAGCCCTATAATATACAACAGCCATTTTTCGAATTCAGTACAAAATTCCCCAACTCACGTTGTGATGTTATTCGGCGCCGGTGCTGGTTTTTACCCCCAGTGAAAAACCAACACCTTAAAGTACTGTACTTGTGGTATTTTCCCGAAGTACCGAAAGCACGTTACCTGGTGCGATGCAAAAGCCTTCAATGTTTGTAAAATCATTTCGATATGGTGTGAATCCGCCTTTGTCCAAAAATATAAAGGACAAAAAGTCCTGACCTGGGATTAGGAGAATATATAAGTAGAATATACCATATCAGTCAAATGTTCGGACACACCAGGTGACAGTGTTGCATCTCATGACCTGGCCACCTGACCTAAGCCCAGTAGAAATGGTTTTGGAGGAGTTTGACCGGACAGTGAAGGAAAAGCGGCCAAAAAGTGCTCAGCATACATGTGGAACCTCCTGAAGGACAGCTGGAAATGCATCCCAGGAGGCCATAGAACTGGTGCAGAGGAGACAGTAGGGTCAGGCAGTCCCTGGAGCAACTGGGGTTAAGGGCCTTGCACAAGGACTCAGGGATTTGAACTGGCAACCTACTGAGTCCCAACCCACAGAGCTGCCTCTCCCCTGATTTTTTTTTGCCTAATACTTTTTAGGTTAGCGCATACTCCATATATGTTATTTTATAGTTCTGATGTCTTTAGAATTCTTCTAAAATGTAGAGAATTGTACAAATAAACCTTTTTAAGGGTAACTTTTGACTGGTATCATATCTCAAGTTTAGGTTTACTCCATGCAGCCTAACACAGCTACCCAACACAGCTACACACCACTTACAGTAAATCACTGCAAATTGAGGCATGTTAAGAGGTTACATATTTGCAGTAACCTTAGCAACACCAAGAAATCTGACAGTTTAATGGTATAATGAGTTCATTTACATTTTTGCATAGCACTGGGTTAAGTGCAATAACAGATTTTTAATTTTAAAAAGCCTTCTTCGTTAATCCTGGTATTTCATGCATTTAAAGTTAAGGACATTTTACAAAAAATATGAAGATCAATATTGCTGCTATTAAAATCTGTGCAGGACACAAAGGTGGAAAGTTTCCAACTTTCTGTAGAAAAATATTTTTGTTTCATAAAAGCACACATTCATAACTAATTTCATAAATCTACATTAATAGTGTTCTAGAAACAATGACATGGTCTTTCTTACAAAATAACCCTGTAATAAAAGTTTTACAATATTAATATAGTCATAAAGGTACACAGTTGAGGTGTGGCCTTCTTTCATTGGCTGTAAGTAAAAGGAGTAAAAGTGTTTTCACGATTATGTTTGTGAAGCTGTGAGATGCGGGGAAGCCGTTCGGGAGCTGGAGTGAAAGCAGATTTCCTGCGAAAAGTGCAACAAACGGCGCCTCAGTCGTCATCGAGCTGCAGCAGACTGAACCTGTTGGCGACATCTCCAGTGTCCGGCCGCCGGCCCCCGTGCCGCCTCCTCCTCCTCCTCCTCTTTTTGGAGGAAGCGGAGGCGGGAGCAGAGGAGGCCGGGCCCGTGGCGCCCTGGATGGCGCTGAAGAGGCTGCAGTAGAGCTGCCTCGGAAGAGCGCCCTCCACCATGTGCTCGGCCGGGACGCCCCCCCTCAGCTCCCTCACGAGACGGTGCACCAAAGTCCCGCTGTACAACCTGCAGGGGAGAGACGGGGGAGGGGGAGGGGCACCACATGAGCAGCATCCCGGTGACATCATGCATTCAGTCCGACTTTTTGGTGCTGCAATAGTGATTCATTAGTCATTAGACTCTGAAATCTGATCTGTTCCCGGACCAGAGATATTAGGTGCGATACTGTCTACTGCAGGGTTCTTCAAATCTGCACCTCGATTCCAAATCCAGGCCTTGTTTTCAGTTCTCCCAGGTAGTTGTTTAATAATTACTGATTCTGATTGGTCAGAGGCTTCACACCTGACTGACAGGTAAAGGAAGGCTGGAAGACCAGCAGTGCTCGGACCTCGAGGACCGTGATTTGAATAACCCTGGTCCACTGATGCCGGGCGATGGCAGCGTTCACTCAGCCACGCTTCCCGTCTCTGTAACAGTCACGAGCTCGAACATCTCATACACTGAACATTTCTGTTAAACCACATTCTCCGTAACCCATGTCTACTGAATGCCCAAGTGTGTCACATCACATTCATATTAGACGTCTGATATTTTCAAGTTACAATAGTTCAGTCAATTTGACGCTTTATCTCAAATCATACATGTGCTGCTAATGCAATGGACTCCAGCTAATTAACTTGGCCGAAAGCTAGGAATTACTTGTTCGGTTGAACACCCACACAGGAAACCAGCGAATGCGACCCGTCCGGGACTTAGGCGGTACAGTACCGAGCACAGTCGGGCTCAGGCAACGGGCTGCCAAGCAGGCGGTTCAGGAGCAGGCTGACCCACAGGCAGGACTGCCACTGGCTAAAGACGTGAGCTGAGTCTAGGTCCAGCTTGGTCCTGTCGCCACGTGCCTCCCGTATGCGCTGCAGCCTCACGCACGACAGCGCTGGTCCTGGACCAGTGAGACAGGGAGCCAAAGGTCAGTAATGTCAGCCAAATCAGGCATAGATCCTGCTGCTTCTCTGGAGCTTAATCAGGATGATGAAGCAGTCTTTGTGGTTGACCTGTTTGGGCTTTAAGAAATAAAATTTCCCCACAGTAACACCAATAGCAATCTCCACGACGGTCCCCGTGGCGACCTCCATTGCCACGGTAATCCTCATGGAGATCCCCACGGCGATGACTGCTGCATCACCTCTCTGGCTGACCCTGAGCTTGCAGACCTCCCCGTACACCATTCCCAGCACCAGGGCCTGCAGATGCTGCTGGGTGATCCTTGGTCCGCAGCTCCTCAGCCAATAGACGGTGACGCACGCAGGGAGAGCGAGGGCGGGGGGGGCAAATTCAACGACACTCACAGGAACCTGCAGTATGTTCAGGAGGAGATGCTGACTCCTTTCCAAAGGCCCCTGCAAGGACAGACATTACATCAGCATACGACGAGCCGCAAAAACATTATACAGCTCATTAACTTAAAGTTTTTGCTTTAACTTCATTAACCGCATCCTTTTTGCTGACTATAGGTATGCTTCACAACGTTAATCATGCTCACGGGAGTTTAACTCACACAAAAATGTTCAGAGGCCAGGACAAAAAAAAATTAAGGAAAACAAAGATATCTGATTGGTTGGTCTCGCCTCCTCTAGTTGCTGGGACCCACCTCCTCTACAATCTGATTGGTCAGATCTCTCTGAACCTAGGTTAACTAACACAGCCATTTGTGTGACAAAACCATTTATCCAAAGCTGCTATCCTTTAAAAACATTTGTGCCACTGGACACTTCACTGGAATGAGAGCAGGGCACCTCCTGGGACTGGAACCAGCAACCTTCAGGTTGCATGTTCATGTCTTTAATATTCATTCAATATTTAACAAATCACCCCTAATCCAGAATAAAGACAGTCACTGATACATTATTTTTACCTCATTCATTTTCTCTAAAGGGTTTGCTCTGACGAGTTGGGACACAGTGCTTGGAACTGCTGATCTCCTCAGATCCAAGTTTTGCCGGTCATACTCCTCCACAACGTACATCAGGCCCTGCCCATACGTGGCCTGGTCCTGGCCCAATCCACAAGCCCCCTGCACCTGGCCCCGCCCATGAGTGGAATGTGCCCGCCTCCAGCCCAGGTCACAAGTCCTCTGCACCTGGCCCCGCCCACGAGTGGAATATGCCCACTCTCGACCCAAGTCACAAGCCCCCTGCCCCCTCCTTTGCTTCCAGTCCAGCAGCAAGCCGTAGAGCTCTTGGCGGAGCAACACGGAGCCAGCATGACTGCTGGCCAGCTGGCTGTTCTCTACCTGCACGCTCAACAGCGCCCTCTGCAGGACAAGCACGTTGATGACCAGCGGCATCAGCCTGGCCTCGAACAGCGCCTGCAGGACCCATGGGGGAAGTGAGGCGAGCGGATAGGGGAGGATGAACGTCGGAGAGCCGCCTGCGAAGAATGAGGCCACATGACTCTCAGAGAGGCGGTAATCCTGCATCTTGGAGGACAGCTGTGAACGGACGGCCTGTCTGTCCACACCTCCCACCTGACCCTCGATCTCAGCCAAGGCCTGCTCCAGCCCCTTGAACCTAGACAGCCAGCGGAGCAGGTTCTCGATCCGGCAGGAAGTCTTCCCTCCCTGAGAGAGCTGGCAGGCACTGAAAAGCCTCTCTACAGACGGCACACCCACATAGTCATTCCCGGCTAAGACGGCAAGGAGAGGCAGCAGTTTCTTGTCCATGCGGTTGAACTGGGTACAGAACTTGTTGACAGAGAAGAGGCTGGCGGGGATGTAGCTGTCGGACGTCCTCTCGCACATGACTACATCGCTCCACTGGAAGTAGCTAATGGGCAGGTAGCCGCCCTTCAGGTCGAAGATGTAGAAATCGCTGTCGCTGGACAGCACAGGGCAGCCCCACTGATTGGCCAGAGCGGCGATCTCCCAGTCCGCCTCCGACACGCACTGGACGACGGGCACATGCAGGCTGAAGAGCACCTGCAGGAAAACATCCCGGGTGAGCAGCGGCAAGATGGACCCATTCTTATCCCGGGAGAGGTTGTTTGCCTCCCTGATCTTGCTTTGGAGTCGCTCTTTTATTGTTTGGAACTTCTTGTCGCTGGCGTCGATCCCACCGTCCAGGACTACAAACGGCTGTATGTGGCACGTGAAGAGGGCCTCGAAGAACTGCAACACCACGCTAGCAAAGGAGTCGTAGTCTCCGCCATGCTGCTGGTCCAAGCCTGAAGTGAAGTAGAGTCTGTAGTATAAACTGTTGCCATCCACCACCAGCCTGGTGTCCCTCACTCTCTGCCTGCGCAGGAAGTGCCCGTTTCTTTCCACAAAGCTCGTGAGCCCCTGCACGCCCATGCTGGTGCCGACAACCTGCAAATGTCCCCCCAGTGACGTTATTACAACACGGCATGTACTTTTATCCCCTTCCCCCGGGTCGCAGATACACTTCGCGCATGTCCAGATACCCTTTCAGTGTTCGCTGTATTTGTTCTTAGAAAAGTATTTATTATTGACATTTAACGCTAGCTACATCTGTCAAGTTAAGCAGCGCCTGTCGATGTTATAAAGGAGTGTCTACCTTCATTCTGCTGAAATGTCAGTTTATGTTAACTTCAACGATCACGACACAAAATTAAAATTCGTGCTCATCATTGGTAATCTACCCAGCTATATCAAACTGAAAGTAAGTTAAAAACTGAAATAAAGACTGATTAAAACGGTGATAACCCACGTGCAGTTTTGCATAACACGTGAGGAACGCAAATATCTATATATTCAATAAGGATTTTAAAACCTTTTACACTTACGTACACAGCCCCGTCTAAGTACCAATCCCCTTTCTTTTCGCTTCCTTGACTACAGTTTCCACTGTATATAAACTCATTAAAAAAAAGAAGTTACCCTATTAATTTCCGGTTTCATCGGGAGCAAAGGATTCTGGTAAACTGAGTCCGGTAACACAAAAAAGACCTGCGGTGTGAATTAGGTTTTCGGTAAGGCAATAAAAGAGCATTAAAAAGCTTTAAATGGTGGAAAACCTCCTTGCAGTGTCAGAGTCAAAGTAAGTATTTATTACAGCCACAAAGGTACAAACAAGTGTGTCTAATGTCAGCTTAATGTAATTGTTTTAGGCTTTTCTTATATAATTTATCAGCTATTTCTCAGAATGGATGTTCTCAGCAGTCCTCTATCAGTCGCCAGCATAAATTTCTTCCTTGAGTTTAGGGTTGTCGATTGCAATAAACTGCTCCCTTACTGCCCAGTTTTATGAGACTATAATATAATCCATGACAGGGAAGTGACATAAAATCCACCACTATGTGTAAATCAGGAAAAAATGTAGTAAAATCAAATGTGAAACTCAAGTTTGAACATTGTGGAAACGACAGTTCAGGTCCCTACTGCAAAACATATTTTTGTCTTCAGTTTAGAAACTCCTGTGTTCAGCTTTTTTGGTCAGTTCCACATGGAGGATCATGGGCCAGTAACCTTTGGTTCCTTTTATGGTGAGAATTAAGTCCTGGCTCCGCTTTGAATATCCGCCCTTTTTTCCTAAGCTAACATCTGCTATAAACGAACGCGCTGTCTGTGGTTTACGAGATTTTATAAGCAAATCAATGACAAACCCTGCAGGGTGTATGCAGAGCGTTGAAGGTCAGACTACATTTCGCAAGAATCGAAAACCATCCCCAAAAACCATGGGTGGAGGGAGAAATCAGGCCGAGTGCTTCTTTATTTTTCAGTTAATAAGCTAACCTTAGTTATCATTGAGTACTGTAGCCTGCAGATTGATTGTCTTTGCATTAAATTAGTTATCTGGCTAATAAACTATAACAGTAAAAAGGCAACCTATTTGGAGCAATGCAAATGTATTTCCATTTATGTTAGCTGCACATGAACTTATTAATTTCCACACTAGTAATGATACAATAACTATCATGTAATAATGACAATGATTTAGTTTCAGTGGTGCTGTAGTTCTGCCAGAGTGGGGTAATCCCGGTCCAGAGAGTATAAGTCCAGACCAGGATTTTGTTTCAACCAACCAGTTGAACATAAAGAGTCACAGTCACGGAGTACTCAACTGGTTGGTTGAAACAAAATCCTGTTCTGGTTTTTTACTCTCTGGACCTAAAATACCCAAATCTGAGTCCTGCATAGATGCCAGGTAGTTTATCCACCTTACTTTTAATGCCACATATCAGAGGGTCTATGGAATATTGTACAGCACTGTGTAACACAGAGAGAATGTAATCATTAGGATGTTAAAACAAAGTAAGCAGAAGCTGATGTAAACCACACAGTGTGACCTTGTAACCTTTAGAGAATGCAGACCAATTACTGCTGCAAAATGTAACCAAAATACGTGTTTCTGTACCTGATCATAACCTTTTAGTGTCTGTGTCATTTAACCCTGGATGTATGACTATGTCTCTCTGTTAGTGTCGAAGCTTATTGCTCTGTGGAAGACCAAAGAATATAGTCGGCAGTGCATCTAAGCACTTTACGGCCAGCTGACAGTGCCAAGATTGACACTGGTCATTACTGAAGACGACCTCTGGGTTCTCACGGTGCTCCTTGGGGGTTTTGCTCTCTGCCAAGAATATAGAACATGGTGGGGGGTTTTGCTATGATTGTGCTTTCCGGAAACTTTGACCGAAAACAGAAATGATCGACAGCTTCATCATATAGGAGTGGGGAAGTAACTGGATGGCAAAAGACCAGGACTGATCGTGAGGAGACTGAAGGGCAGAATTCCTGAGCCCCAGGAAAGAAGCACAATGTTTGGACCAGAGAGATGATGCTTGGAACACCCTGTGACAAATGTCTTGATAAGAGATTTGAAAAGTGTATAAAAATCAGAGTGGCTTGATATGGGAGACATTCCTGTCCAGACTTGGTTGTAACTTCCATGTTGCAATAAAGACTGACTTTAGAAATCTACACAAGCGGCTCCTAATTTGGCTCAAAAGAACAACCACAACACATCCACTGGCATGTATAGTTTACTCACCTTGTTCTTAAGCACTACACCACTGCTTGTGCCTTTTACCTTTATGACCAGCCCAGCAAATAATGTAACATTGTAATACGTCAATATAAAAATGGAGGCTAATGTCCCCCCAACACTCACACACATTAGGTATCCATATCGTTGTGGGGACTCTCCATTCATTTCTATGGCTATAACCCGAATTCCAACATGGTGACCTTAACCCCTATCTAGCCCTAACCTTAACTATAAGTAACCGAACAAAATGCAGGACCTTTGAAATTTTTTGTTTTTCAATTGCAGTCACAGTGTTTTAGAAAATTGAGTTTTCCCCTGTGAGGATCGAAAAAATGTCCCCACAAGGTCAGCGTAACAGGTTTTTGTCTGAGTGAATAAAAATTCCCCATCTATTTGTCTGCCCAGTTCCCAATAAGAAGGAAAGGAAAAAAAAGACAGTTGCTTCCAGTGAAATCCTTTTATTGTATATTTCTTTTATTTTTATCTAATAGTGCATTTTTCCCCAGCAAATTTCTGTGAGTTTATTCAAATGACCCTCTCTGCACATACACGGGGTCAAAGGTCACCCCACAGAACAATCCCCAAAAAAAATCAAATCACAACACAGTCACACTTTCCCATGCAAAGTAATCCACAAATTCAAAATATTGCATTATTGTACGGTGACTTCAGGTTCAGTGGCACAGGGGTCAGGCAACACTAATGTAGTGAAACAAATGCATCACAGACAGGCTTAGAATCGGAGTAACAAAAGCCACAGGAAAGAAAATGAAGTCATCCACACCTGAGAGGGAGACTTCCTGCCAGCCTGTGACACACTTCCTGCAGGGGGGGGGGGGCGCTGAGGATTGTCCCTGTTTACACCACCTGTTTATCTGCTTGCACCATAGAGCTGAAAGCCTCAAGTATGTGTGTATGGGGGGGCTTTGAGTAGCAGGCAGGCGCAGTCGCTACCTCCCTCTACCTGACCATTGTGTGGAGTGGAGAGGGGAGGGGTACCCTGAGTTGCTGGGGGGGTGAGGGGGCCACGGGGTAACAGGCGAGAGCTCCAGGCTGCCCACAGAGATGCCCGAGTCGGTGCTGTGACTGCGAGCGCTGGCGGCGACGAGGTCCTCCAGGGCCTCGGAGGGCCCTTCCTCTGCGTCCTCCTCTTCCTCCCGCATCCGCCACAGCTCCGACTCCGACAAAGGGAATGACCGGCGTTCCCATGGCGACACTGCCTGCTGCGGATACACAGGGGTTACAGTTGTGCTCATCCAGCTGACCTGCCTGTGCATGGACGACGCCCCCCCCCGCCCACCCACCCACCCTACCGCATCACACACCCGCTCGTCCTCCTTCAGAATGGGGATATTCTGTGCCCCTCTGGGGGGCTCCCACCGCTGGTACCCCCACTCAGGAGGGTGACCGAGTCTAAGCTGTGTCATGGGGGGCAGCTTCCCGCCTCGGCGACAGAGAGACCTGGGGGTTCATTCCAATAGTAAATGTCCAGATCCAGTAAGATGGAGACCTCAGATTCCCCCCCCCAACTCACCGGCCCCTGCGACGGCGGTGGGCCCCACGACCCCAGCGTCCTTTCTCCCGACATTCCCACTGAGCGTGCCGGCTCCGGAACGCCGCATCAGACATGTCCTCCTCCTGCAAAAGCCAGATGGCACAGCCTGAGGCCCGCGGTGATGCCCGGCGGCCTGAGGCCCGCGGCGATGCCCGGCGGCCTGAGGCCCGCGGCGATGCCCGGCGGCCTGAGGCCCGCGGCGATGCC